AGGCTTCCATGTTCCCATCATTTCGGTCTTTGTTGATGCGACGCACGATGAATGCGCATTCTCTCTCGTTTAAGAAGCGCCAGGACTTGTGTGCGCGGTCAGGGAAGTCGACGAGGAAGAAGAAACACAGGATGCCAATAAAGCCCGTGATCTATATTGCTTGTTAGCTCGGTGGTTTTGTTTCGGTTGGCCCAACTCTACGTACCACTCCCTCGAGGATGAAAATCCATCTCCAGCCCGTCAGCCCATGCTTTCCGTTCAATTGCATCAGACCAAACGCAAGGATACCCGCCAATGCAGAAGCGACACATCCAATGAGATAGAAAACGGAGAATCGCTTCTGAACGTCATCTTTGAAGAGTCAGCACTGCGCAGTCGCTTGGAGGGATCTTGTTTGTCGATTTCTCTTACATCGAGTATACCAGCAAGATAGCAAGTAGACACAACCAGGAAAGTAACCAGCTTCTAGCACACCCAAAAGCACACGCGTTCCAACCAACGCGCCCCAGTCCTGGACGAATCCCATTCCCTGTGCCGGTCAATAAACCAGAGTCTTGTTGAGGAAGCGGAAAGCCCTTACAATCATGATCCCCGCCCAGCATACAATAATCGAGCTCAGGAAATATGTTGGGCCAACTTTTCGAATAATAACCGTCATCGGCGGCTGGAAGATGATGTAGGGTACGAAGAACATGAGGACGATAATAGACTATTCAGATGTTAGCCATTCGTCTTCTGAAAAATGCAATGTATTTGAACTTACATAGCGTTCGCCAATGTCGAGTCGCAATTCCTGTTTCAATCTATTCTAGAGGTTAGCCATCGTTGCACACGACTTTTCTACACGACTATGGCCTTACCCTGCAACGGCGGCCATGCTGAGATTCGTCCGATCCATGAGCGAGATGCAATAAGCCAATCCGGTCATGGTCACCAGACGCAAATCAATTCGTCGAATAATGTTCTTCTGCTCCTGTGGTGTGAATTCATCATCGTCATCGCTGGGAGGGCTCTTTCCCGCGATATCCTCGATGCGGTGATCACCAGGCGGTTTCTCCTCAATGGGAGTCATGGTTCCCATACTGATATGTACCGAATTGTAGTATTCAATAGAAATATAAGATGTAGGGGGAAGTAAGAAAGAATTAAATCGGATTGTCTTGACCAGAAATAGAAGAAGACAGAGCTGCACCCTTAGCTATCAAACGACAAGACTAGCAAGGATGCAAGAATTATATACCCAAGCAGCAGACAGGTCTAAAAGAATTCAAACCATTCCTAAACCAGCCATTCAAGATCGACGCTCGCCTATTGCAGCCCAGTTCAATGTGCCCAGGAAAATCCACAGGAAACGAGTCAATTGAGAGCGCAATAGCCGGCAAGGAGCCTCGGGACAAGCACTAGTGCCATAGAAGAAAGGGCATACACAGCAACATTGCCCGAAACAAATGAGGGGGAGGTCACCCCACTTAATGACACCCTCTACGGGTCATCTCTGGCGCAAGGAGCTGGTTGGGATCGGTGGCGGCTGCTTCTGGGCCATAATCCGGGGGTGATGGGGGAGTAAATGCGGGGGAAGGTACTTGGCAACTTGGCAAATGGTGCGTGGACTACGTGATACACTTTTTGGTCCCCTCCTTTATTAGGAAATTTTAATCTGACGGTTAGTTAGGGACGTCACCTTTGTGGGACTGGGATGATCTGTTCTATCTCTGATCTATTCCAAGGTTGCCAATGTTGCTTAGTGTTCCTTCGACGTTTTAATTTCCAGGCGGGTACGTTGTTATTGTTCTTTTTAGTAGAAAAAGCCACAAAACCCCCTACTTGCTTTTCAAAATTCCAAGTTCAGTAAGGAGACTTCTCGTACAATCAGGTAGTTGAGGTAGTGTCACCTGGGACGAGTTCTGGCCAAGAGTCAGCTATGAGTTTATGAGGGAACTCTAACATTCCATGTCTCTTAGTACGTCGGAGCTCAAACCGCGATCGGTAATGCCGAAAGTGTAATTTGCCATGTGGAAAAGCCTCTGGGCGGTTTAATCATCGTAGATAGGCCGTATATCGTATATCGTATATGGTGATATCATTATGCATAAGGCATGGATAATATAGGCTATATCCAAGCACCCTAGGCTCCTATTGTAAGTTCGTTCAGAATATAGCCCCACTATAAACGCGTCTGTCATTTTACACCATGTGATCCATGTAAGTATTCCCCGATTCCATATTATAGTTGTTATAAGAACACAGAGCCCGGATATAGACAATGGATAGAAAGTGTCGACCATGTTCAAAATTAAATTTCATTTTTACATCTCGGTTCAATCGGGTTAACCTCCTAAAATTACTAACCCAATCAACGGTACCTTTCCTCATCCTCGTATTCGTCCTCTTCTTCATCCTCTTCTAAAAGAAGCCTCTCGCGTTCTTCCTCATCTACCCGATCCTGCTCTCTCAGCTGTCTCACAGACACGAAAACAAAAATCACGAGTGCGGTTCCAACAATGAATCCCGCAACTGCCAACACAGCATTAATTGGGATTGGATTTCCATCAAACGTATGATGCGTCAATGCGTCGAGACCATACTGCGAGAAGTTGGCGATTCCTGAGAGGCAAATAATGGCGCCGTACACACGCCCAAACGTGGCAAAGCCGAAGACTTTGGTAGTATAATCACTGGAGCCAAGGTTAGCACGCAGAATATAGCAGTGGGTGTGAACAGAACAACATACGACATGGCCGAGTAATATAGAGGCCGGAGTAAAACGAAGAGCACAACGGTCATATATCCAGCCCAAACTGCCGGGATGGAGTTCAGCACACCAATGACCGTAGTGAAAAGCACAATCACGCCAAGCATCGTTGGCACACTGAGGCGATCAAGCAGATACCCGATAGCGGGTGTGAAGAGAACACCACCGACCGGCAGTGCGACGTCGAAAAAGGCACCTATTTTATCTGCCTGCTCGATCGATCCGAGCATGTACTCATATTGTGAGCGAATCGTCGCGATAAAGTAGTTCATGCGGATCATCTGCAAAACAGTCATCAGCGTAATCAGGATAAACCAAGGTGTAGCCATCTGCCTGTGCGCCGGCAGGCCGTGCAGTACACCCCAGACCGAACTCGTCTGCTGGCGATCCTCTTCTCGATCTGCACGCATCTGCCGCTCATCCCTATCACCGAGCACCGCATCGATCTGGCGGATCTTCTTTTGTCGCCTCTCCGCTCGCTTCTTTCGCACCCGGTTTAGCTCCGACGTGCTCTCGATTTCATCATCGGAGTCGTGGACATCACGTGTGGCATCTTCGGCCTTTTCGACCTTTGTTTCCAATTGCATCGTCGAGACATAGTCGCGCGCTGGCATGATGGTTACGAGTGCGATGAAGATACACACGGGGACTATCAGATACCCCAGGAAGAACTTATCCGGGGTGAAAGATCTCCCAGAAGCCTCATATACGAGCCGGTAGAAGAGGAACACCGCAGCAGAGGCATCGAATGCACCGGTCACCAACGCGACAATTGACCCCGCATATTTTGGGAATGCATTCGCGATCTGGAACGAGGGAACAAATAAAAAGGTGCCAGCCAGAGCGAGGAAGAAATTCCCCGCGATATATCCATCGAAGCCGGGTTCATGGAATGCAAAGGCTATGATGACACCGCCGATAGCAAGCAACAGGCAAGCAATGAACCAGCAGATGCGTGATCCGCATCGATCCAGAATCGTCCCAACTGGCAGAGCGGAGACATTGGCTGTTATTGAAGCAATGGTGAAGAAAAGGTTGAGTCTAGTAGTTGATTAGGGACAAGCATAACTCGGGATGGTCTGTGCGACAAACATACCTAAGGTCCTGCTGTGAGCACAGCTCAAGCCCTTCCTTTATTTCGGAAGGACTGCAACGCTCGTGATAAACGCCTTCCTCAACGAGGACAGGCTTAAGCGCTGCGAAGCCAAACACGATCCCCGACGCGCTCCAGCACGCGACTACGGTGACAGCGACCTGGGCTGGAAGGTGTCAGCTGTTTGTCCCACCCTAGGCCGAAAGATACATACCTATTCTCTTTGCGAGGGAGTGTTTGTACGCTGGTGTTCCAGTCCGCGTTTCTGCGACCGGGATACCCTCGCTCGGAGGTTGGAGGACATCGTAGCTGATTTTTCGGCGAATGGGAGCGAAGTCGCAGTCGTCAACTAAGTCTGGTTCGAGTTCGCGATCAATACCGTCAATAGCAGAAACATGCTGCACCAATGACATTGCACTGTGTTGAACAGATGAGGTGTTGTGGAGGGGAAGTTGGTTTTATCGTGAAAAAACTTGTTCTTTCCCTCTTTCCTCCTTTCCCTTCCGGCCTAAGGTCATACCAGCACAGCTTTTATGTACTTAGCATGTGTAATGTCGTTTCGGTGACTCAATCGAGTGTTAATATTATTTATTTACATATGAATGGTTAGTTATTGTGCGATTTTTATGCTTAGTGTAGCTTGGAGCTATGGTCAAAAGCTATAACACCTGACACGTGTAATTTTCCCACCTAGACTCGAAGTATACTAGAGTCGCATGCATAAACTCATTAAACTGGGGAAATATGCCAGGGTGGATATTACTAGTACCAGATAGGACAAGGTAGCTCCTGGTTGCCAGCTCTGATTCGTTCAGTTTCGTCTAAATTGCCACCACTCATGTTAAGTTGAAATCTTTTTCCTCCCTTGGCCGAATTTTGTCCAATCATAATTGATATGACCCAAATACGCATTTGGAAAGTGAAATTAAGGTGAAGACATCCATGGATCATCTCGGAGATGTCGGGATACTATGTACAGGTACAGATTAGCTTCAAATGTACTTTATACTACATAGTACGGTACTCCATACACAGTTAAAGGAACATCCATTAATAAAGTATTGTATGTCTAACCCCTGGCTGAAGCACCAACATTCTAATATCTAAACTTACCTTTGAACCACATATTATAGTCGTTTAAAACAGTACTACTTCTCAAACAGCCGTGGAAGGCGACTTCTCTTTCTTGATTGACCTCCATTCCATCGTAAGCGCGGGGAGAATCATCAGACAGGACACCGCCACGGCAACAATAAATGACCGCCGGAGGCCATCATTGTATAAGGCCAGAACTTCGGTCAACTTGGTCACCGGGACAGCATCAGAGAGGCCCGTTGCCCCAGCCGCCATAATCTTGGCCACATCAATGCCCTGGATGTGGGGTAGGTTTGCGCTGAGATAATTCTGGAAGAGCGACTGAGCGACAGCGATAAAGATAGCTCCACCGAGAGACTGTGCGAAAAACATGAGTGAGATACCAATGGCTACCTCACCCATAGGGAGAATGGTCTGCGCCGCCATGGAGGGCTGCTGCATTCCCGTACCAATACCGAGACCAAACAGTACCTGGTACCCGATCCAGGCGGCGTGGTTGGTGTCCATCTTGAAGGTCGTCATCAACCCAGCACCCGTAGCCATGAATATAGCCGCAATGAACATCCACGGAACGTAGTATCCTGTCGCAGTGATGATTGAGCCGGAGAGGATGGCTCCGACAACAAGCGCCAGCACCATGGGGATCGTGTCGATGCCAGATTTCACAGCTGATGTGCCGCGCACACCCTGGAACCAGAGTGGGAGTGTGTATAGCATGGATATTAGCCCTCCACCCACACACAGGGAAAAGACTACACCGCTGATGATGCTGCGCTGGTTGAATATATGAGGCGGCACTGTTGCGTCCTTCTTCAACCAGATCTGCACGCCAACAAAGCCGATTATCAGGATTCCTGAGACGATAAACAGCGCGATGATGCGTCCGTTGCTCCAGGGATAGGTTGTGCCTCCCCACTGTAGGGCGAGCAGGAGGCAAATGACAGAGGGGAGGAAGAGCACGCTACCCAGGGGATCGAGGCGCAGGATGTGTTTCTTCCAGGTGCACGGTTGGGGTTTGTGGGGGACAGCCAGGAAAAGGAACAAGATGACCATGGTGAAACCACCGATAGGAAGGTTGATGTAGAAGCACCAGCGCCATGTTACGTTGTCTGTGAACGCACCACCCATCAGAGGTCCGATGATTGACGAAAGCCCAAAAATTGAACCCATCAGCCCGACGTACATGGGCCGTTTGGCCAGCGGCACTATCTGTGCGATTATAACCGTCGCACCCGAAAATATGCCCGCCGATCCAATACCTGCTATCGCGCGTCCGACGATGAAGGCTTTGGAATTTGGGGCGCCGCCGCAGACCGCCGATCCAACTTCAAAAATAAGGATCGCGACAAGAAATATGGTCTTGGTCGAGTAGAAGGTGTACACCTTGCCCCAGGATAGCTGGGTAGCGCAACTCGTCAGGAGATACGCGCTTGCGTACCAACTTAGGTCGTCAAGGGCATTGAACTGGGTTGCAATTCGGGGAACTGCTGTGGCGATGATGGTGCGGTCCTACAGTGTTCAAAGTTTTGTTAGGATAGATCCACTCGGGCAATAGGAAATGAGACATTCATACCAATGCAACCAAAAACATAGCAAACAGAATAGAAACAATAATAGCTAGCAGCCGAGTCCCCGTTGGTAAATGAGTCCCATCTTCCTCGACCACGGAGGGCTTCTCGGTGGTAGTTGAGACCCGGTCGGGCTGCTGGTCGAACTGCTCTTCCATCGATCGAGTCATGATATAATCCAAATTTTGTTAAATAGCAAACAAGTAGATCTTTGTGAGTAATCTAAATTAACATATTTGAAGGGAAAGGGGCACATTTATAAGTAGTTCAAGGTAGTTTAGGTTCCCGGGGTGAAAATTAGTTCGGCGCCGAGCAACATAGGGCAAAATTGCCCTCGGCGCCGACCACTGTAATCCCCTTCGCTACTTCTCACACTCGTTTTTATCATATTAACTGCGAAATTTCCAATCCATCGGAAGCCGAAAGAACTTAGATTCTGAAGTTGTGGGTGGACTCCAACATTTCCGTGATGAGTCCCAACTCACTTCCCACGGACAGCCTCATCTCTTCGCTTGCACTATCAATAACCCGACAAAGAGTCACATGGTCGAGCTCCATCGCCACAAACCCAATAGCTTGTCCTAATACCTTGGTGAGTGGTAAAAGATTGAGATCTTATTGTATCACACAAGTGATTCCGAAAGAGCCCCACAAACCTCTCCAACCTAGGTCTCATTGACAGCCTGGTGCCACGAAGGACTAATTGCTTCAGGCAGCATTTCGATCACTGTTGCATCAAGATGCATGTTTTCGAGTGTGGCTATGACGCTGTAGCACCGATGCGGTATAGTTTCCTATTCCAATGCCATGACCGATACGCGGCACGAACATTATGTCCACCCGATACCACGTCCCCTGTTGCATCTGACCCTGACTCAATAATCTCGTGTGACAGCTTCAGGAACAATGCGGTCTGTGGCAGATGTCCTGTCCTAAGAACACGGAGGAGATGGGATCCTTGATAAAGCATCGCCCTAACTTCTCAAATATGGCTGAGAGACGCTCTTCCAAGGTTGTTCTAAATCTTTCTCCTTTTCTTCGCCCATTGTTTGGGATCATTTTGGATGTTGGTATTCGTGTACTTTGTGAGTAATTTATGACTATGCCGATATTGTAGGTCTGTTAGAAGACAATCATAGGATGTATATATCGTCCCTCATATATTGTAAGTTGGACCAATATGGATTGTAGGTCATTTTCATTGATCCGGTGGAAGGCAGTAGATAAGAATCGTAACTATAGTTTCTAGTTTTTCGAGTGCCATTCCACATGAAATGCGAGGTCCCTCTCTTGCATTTTCGTCATCTGCCAAGCCACTGCCATTAATGGTCCCATGGGTCGTAAACAGGAACAGGGCATATATAATGAACACCGGCCTCCATTATTTAAATACAGCAAAAACATTACCTTCATATGTATATAGCTTAATCCCATTGAAAATATCTGAAGGGTCAAATCGAAGAAAGAGAATGGGAAAATACAACACCAAATCAAATTGTTCGTTGTAAATGCCAAGAGTTAATATAAAAATACCATGTTCCACCCCAGACAGAGGATGGTATGACGTATGGGGACCTAACACCAATGACGTAGCACCCGTTATATGTCAACTGCCATGACCCCTTTTCATTTAACCTGTTCTACATATTGTCGATTAGATTATTTGCATAGCGTGTTCTTAGGTTGACTCATTTGCCTTTGGGATTTAAAACGAGAATAATCTGCAAGAAGCCGAGTTACAGCGATAACAACAAACGCAGTACATGCGATCGAAAACCACAAAAGCAGCACAAGCAGCACAATGGCCAATATATCAATTAGTGCCCCTGGTCTGAACAGTGGCGGATTTCTTTACAACAATGGCAACAATAATGCACGACTATGCGTCACAGCCGAGACTGAAGATTTCGACATGGAAATCATCAAGAACTGGCAAGAGGAAGGATTCGACGTCCTGTACCTTCCTTACAATGGCGGAGGAAAAGACTACGCTCGCCGTTTGCAATCTGTAAAGGATGGTCTTGGTGTAGGCGAAAATTACGCCGTGATCGGTATGTACAGAACTTTCTCTAAACATCATAAACTACGAGTGATGAACTGACTGACCCGATCCCTAGCCTACGGTGACGCCGCGGACTACTGTCTCGATTACTATATCAATTCTATCAACGCCAGTCGACTCTGCGCCCTGGTCGCCTACTACCCCAGCCTAATCCCTGATACGCGATCGCGATTCCCACTTTCGCTTCAGGTCCTCGTGCACTTGGCAGGCGAAACTGTGGACGTACTTGTTCAGCCCGTCGCGCTGGGCTTGCAAGGAAAGAAGCGCCGCCAGACGCGACCGATCAACGCTGGTATTGGGACTGGAGAGCGTTTGGATCTGGCATACCCGGCGTTTACCTATCATAATGCCGTGCCCGGGTTTGCGGAGACGGACCTGGAGGAATACGACCATCTGTCGGCGGATCTAGCCTGGACGCGGACTTTGAAGGTCTTGCGGAAGGGGTATTCCAGGGATCCAGATTATGAGCAGCGGTATGAGCAGCATGTGGAGGGTAAGTTGCAATCGCCAAAAGGTCGAGCGATGACAGCTAATACTTTGTTAGGCAAGTTTTTCTCGTCGAACGTCAGAAAGACGATGGATGGTTATGTGCAACATAAAACCCCCGGTGTCACTTATACGCCGACAATCAGCGGCGGGATCGGGAAAAAGGCCTTGCGCCATTTCTATGAACATTACTTCATCGGCAAACTGCCCCCGTCTATGCGCCTCCGACTGTTATCTCGTACCACAGGACCCGATCGCATCGTAGACGAGCTGTACGTGAGCTACGAGCACACACAGGAGGTTCCATGGATGCTACCGGGTGTCCCGCCGACAAGCAAACGAGTCGAGATCATCCTCGTGAGTATTGTCAGTATGCGCGCCGGGCGTCTTTACTCCGAGCATGTATACTGGGACCAAGCCAGCGTACTAGTGCAAGTTGGTCTTCTTGACCCCAAGCTCCTACCGGATGGAGTCCAGGGTGTCGATCGACTACCTGTTGTTGGACGCGAAGCTGCTCGTCGCATCCTCCACGAGGATACTGAGCTTGAACAGGAAGACTACCATAACAAGATAATTCGCCGTGCGCGTGTCCGTGCGAGGAGGAACATGAATCAGAGCTCCCGCATGTCGCAGGCTGGCGATGAGTCTGGGGCTGACCTGAAGAGTGAGGCGGAGCGGTCTTTGCCTGATAGGAGTCGGAATAAGGGCAAGGCAGTTCAGAAAACGAATCCTGCGAGTCTGCAGCGGACGGCCACCGAAGCGGTTGATTATCAGGATGATGATGGCGCTGATACCGAGACAGAGTCTAGTGTCAAGGCTAGGTCTGATGCTGGCAATCAGGCTGCTTATGTCGAGGATGGGGGAGATGATAGTGCTGAGAATGGTTCTAAGCAAACATGACTTCTCACATCTACTTCTCTTTGTCTGGATAACCACGGAGACATTCCTATGGCCCTTGATCTGCCTCTAGAGGAGATCAAGCCGACAATTCATAAATTGAGTGGGGAATATCCTTTTGATTTTTTAGGCGACTGTTTTTTGATTATGAGTGATCTTGTACCTGTCGATTTCTTCTGTTTAGCATTAGTGTTTGTCACTATTTTGGATATGATGATCAATGAGATATGTATGTTTGGACAGATATTGCAACAATTGAATTGAAAGTTGAAGCTCCAAGATAACGAAGCATGACATCACCAAGGCACCGGAAAGTCTATTACTCCGACATGTGATAACCACATGCACGGACCATTATATGTAGTGTGGCAAGTCATTCAATGACACTTACATCCCGGTATACACATCTAGGCATAAACACAGTGTGGTCAGTCGATTACCACTTTATTGTATATAAGACAATCCTAGGAAATATCTACGGTTGCTATTTCGGGGGTCGAGGCTCGCCGCTTTTCAGTTACTGCATATCTACATAGCGCTGACGTCGACCTCTTCATGTACAGAACATACACAGAGTGAATATTGCACATCCGCGGTTATCCCCAATACTATAATCGAAAATAACTCAACACATATGCATTGAATCATCCCCAAAATGTGTTCTTAGTGGCTCAAAGACCTCCCTCAACACAACCTCGCCCCAGAATCGGCCAATATGATGCGCCGGCACACACAGTTCCAGACCGGTCACAAACCTCACGGCCACCATGGCTTTAAACTAGACGAGACCCATGTCACAGGCCCAGTACCCTTTCTAAATCCCACCTCGGCACGCTACGAACCAACCCAGCACCCAGAAGACACTCGTGCTCCCCCACAAGTTGAGCGTCTATGGCGATCCCGCGACAACAGAAAAGGCCGACATGCCATTCGCATCGATACGAAGACCTTGCCCCATGAAACGGGGCTTATAGTACCACCAGTGACGCAGTCCATCCCAGCAATAGCTAAGATCTTTCTCCGGATGGCGACCTACGCCCCTTATTGGGATGTATCATATCTAGTCGCCATGAACTTCACTATCGGGTCCGCAATCTTCATCGCCAATGGGTTCTTCGTATGGTTACCGCTGGTAGACAAAAAGACCGAGTTTCACGGTGAAATTACCGTTGCCGGTGGTTGGACGGGGTTCGTCGGCGCGACCATCTTTGAGCTTGGGGGTGTTTTACTGGTTCTTGAAGCTTTTAATACCAATCATACTGGATGTTTTGGCTGGGCTCTTGAGACTGTCCTCGAGAAGACTATCGAGGATGGGGTTCCTCAATATGCGATGAACGAGATCAGGCCGACGGCTTCAAGGTGCGAGCATCATCACGCGAATCGGAAATCATTTCTCGGGGAGAAGCACTATCATGTCAATGACAATGCCCACTCTCAGAGAGATGACTCTGGCTACGTTACTTCATCGACAGATGGGAGGTCGTTCCGATGGATTCCGTCGACGTCGGAATTACGCAGGCATTATTTTCATGAAATTGGCTTTATAGCTTCTTTTATCTTATTTGTGAGCGCGACGATCTTCTGGATTGGTGCAATTGTTGGTATTCCTGGTATCTTTAAACACATGAGTCAGGGACTGACTGATGGCCTCTACTGGGGTACTACCACTCTTGGTGGGGTGGGATTCACTCTGAGTTCATTACTTTACATGCTTGAGACGCAGTCAAAGTGGTATATTCCTTCTTGGCATGTTCTGGGCTGGCATATTGGCCTCTGGAATTTAATTGGCAGTGTTGGATTTACTCTTTGTGGTGCGCTGGGCCCGGCGAGTAGTAACTCTGGCGTGAATTATCAGTCGTCACTCGCTACATTTTGGGGCTCAGTGGCTTTCATGATAGGATCTATGATCCAGTGGTATGAGAGTTTGCAGAAGCATCCTGTTGAGAAGAAGTGATGATAAATCAGGGCATATATGACACCAAATTTTCATATCTCCATTAAAATCCAGGCGCAAGCTTCAGGGGGACCTCACTATCCGACGTAGGAGGCAATTTTCAACAAATAAGCTACAGCAAACAAAGTTTAGGTGAATAAAAAGCTTTCGTACTTTCAGCAGAGGTAATTAGCAGAGATGAAGGATTAGTTAGAATAGCAAGAACTTATTTCACTGTAGTAGAATCAGAGAGAAGGCGATCTAGTGAGATGAATACTATTTGCCGAGACTGCAACGTTGGATTTTACACCAGACCAAGTTGATTGATGTCATTCGTGTTATAGTTCAGAGGTATGAATTGGCTTGTTATTTCAGAGGGATACATGAACCTATATATACAACAATGAGCTAAGTTGATTGGAAATCAACTTGGTCGTCCGTATAGTCACTCCGGGGCTAATCCCGACGGTGCGGCTTGGTCCCTGATCTGCACCGGCTTCAAATCACAACAAAATCGACATCTAAGCGTATTTCGGTAATACGATAACCGCTGTACTGGACAAAGCATTAATACGGAGATATTTCACAATACGAAATGTATGAATGCGAATATGAATAAGGCGTTTATTCGCATTCCATTATTCCTTTCAGAGCCCTACATGTTGTACTATTCATGCAATGAGAATCATGCAGCATATATGGGATCATAAGATGAAGAGGAAAACGCGTCCGTGGCAAGAGCGACAATGTTACACAACACGGTTGATGAATCTAGAACTATTGAATATGCCCCAAGGTCTGCCGCTGATTTTTGAATGTATCTTCTTGCAGATCCAACAAGAGGCTAGACTCTCACCCTCCTAATGAACATAGAGAGTCTTTCACCGAAATGTACTTCGAGCACAATCACCGCAATCATGAAGATGGCCCTGAAAGTGCCAAAGAAGATGACTCCTAGATTCGAGTAAGTTTGCTAGCCTGATCTAATCACTCAATGGGACTGGGCGATTCTTGGAGGGGGATAGTGTGATGAAAGATAGGATTTGAAAGTCTCACGTCTATTTCCCGGTATCTCGCATGCCATCTTTCCCTTCTTTTTTTCTTCCCCAGATTTAGACTTTTTATCGAATAGGACCGTTTTTCATCCAACAAGAATTGCCTACATCACATACATATGTTTATTTTGATCCTAAGTTTAAATCTACGGCCATAATTTATACAGCCTACCTATATAGAGTCAATATTTTAATCCTTAGCGATTAGTTCAGGATTGAATATAGGCTGCTTCCTCTATGTATATCCCGAATCCATATAAATCCTGAATCCTTTAGTTCCAGGTGTAATGGAGATTTAGTTTTCTGAAAGAGCAATGTTGCGAAGACAGTAAAGTAATCATCCACAGCAAACAGTTGATAGCCTTACTCGCATATATATCTTCAACAAAAACCCACTTTAGTTGACCTGCCCTTCCTCTCCTGTACAGAAAAGCAAAACAAGAATATACGAGCATAGGCTTAATCCACCCTCTTCCACTGGGTAAAAGGTTGTTGTCGGAGAGTTTTAGTTTAGTTTACTTTTGGTACATAGAATTGAACTTTGATTGACTGGTGGATTGATTGAATCGATATTCTCCGCGTTTTTCTTCCTGGATTCTCCAGAACAGTCTCAGGCTCCACCAACAAGTGCCATGACAATCGAAATCAGCTCATTTGGCTTGCTCAAGAATGGACAGTGTCCCGAATCAATAGTCTCTGTCACAAAGTTCGATGCTCCCCGCGCATTTATACCGTCTTGAACCATACTTTTCTGAAGAGATAGCATAATAGCCAAGTCCCGAGTGCAATGAACATAAGTCGTCGGTAGATGCTTCCACGGTGCGCCAGTCACCTTCGCCGATGCAGCAATCCAATTATGCGTGACATTGCCCTCAGCCAACTTCTCCGCAGTCGCAAAATCGATGTCGTTGAAAAATGCCTCGGCTGCGTTCTTAACAAAGACTGTGCCACCCCCGCTGTTGCCTAGATCGGCTTTGCATTGGAACCCGTATTTCCCAATCAAGTCTCCAAGCGTGTCGCCCGGCTGCACGAGCCACGCACTCAATAAAATGAGGTAAACAATGCCCTTGGTGACTTCATTGGCGTATAGGTCTAACGTGAGTGCTTCTGATGCAACGATGCCGCCATACGAATGGGCTAGAACAATTATGTTGTGCCCAGCATCGATGAGACCTTTGGCTGCTGAGCGAACTACGATGACATCCTCCTTCAGCGTGGCTGTTGGGGGGCTTTCGTCGCCACATGTCGGGAGCCGTGGGCAGCGGACAACGAGCCCTGCTTTGGTGAGCTGGTCGTTAAAAGCATCCCAGGCTGCGGGGAGGAAGTAGCCTCCGTGGATAATGAGAATTGCAGTAGGGGTTTGAAGTGCCATGATAATCCTAAGATGTGATCCCGGTCGTTCACACTTTCTTCGGGGGTTCGAAAAAAGATAACTGTAGCGGTGGGAACGTCAGTAGGACACGGCACAACAAACAACCAGGTCAGTCTAGTGCAATAATGTAAGGTCGCCAAAACAGGGCAAGCTACGGAAAACAGACAAAGTGGGCCCCCGATCTTTACTCATCTTCTCACTACTCAAACTTTTGGCCCGAGAGGGGGTTGTCGATCGCGATGCTTCACTCTAAAATTGCACTTTTGAAAAGTCTTGGCCATGTTGGGTTCCCTTTCGGTCTTCGCAATTCAGCCCCTAAAGCCCTCTGTCTTACACTGGCCAATGATAGGAAAGTACGGTAAGATACGCCGTGCATTGACTTCGCCACGCGCAATTATACGGAAATAAGTCTTACATTGACGTTATCGCGCAGAATGGGCTGCGTCAAATATTTTGTTTGGCCAGGTCAATGTTCAATGTCATGCGTACGTAGTTTTAGCGCCAAATCCGTCCATTTCGTCGGCCGATTGATAAAATCATCCTCGTGTGCTTATCAGACCCATCGCCATCTCCTGCTAGACTCGATTGTCCACCAATTTGCACCATGGCCCAATCTCAGTTCGAAGTGAGAGTCATTCCAACAAAAGAGGAGTATGCTCGCCTTGTCGACGTACTATGGGCTGCGAATTTTAACCCTTATAAGTAGGTTTAAAGCCTGGCCCATCGCGATACATGATTTGAAGGTGTGACTCCTTTATTATTCGAGTCCCTGACTGATTAAACTCGTTTAACAGTCCCATTTTCACTGCTGTCCATCCGGTCAGTGGCCACACCGCCGAAGATCGCGCCAGAGATAAAGCGCTCGACACCAACATCCGCTGGAATGCCAGCGAACAGAACCCCTTCTCGCACCTGATATACGCGATTGATAAAGAAACAGGCGAAGTCGCAGGAGGCTGTGAATGGCTCATTTTCCACGAAAACCCATTTCCAAATGGGCCGCAGCCTATTAAGTGCACCTGGTATCCCGAGGGGACAGAGCGCGCCGAGTACGCGGAACGTATGCTCTCCCAGGCATTTTTTCCACGACAGTCTTGGTTGCAACGTCCACATGCCGGTGTCAATGCCATGGGCGTACACCCGAAGTATCGACGACGTGGAGTTGGGCGACTTCTCATGGAGTGGGGCCACGCGATCCTCGATCCACTGGGCTACGAAAGTTTTATTGAAGGCAGTCCGATAGGGCGCTGGTTATATGAGGAATATGCGTATCGCCGAGTGATGGGTTTATATGTTGATTTTGAAAAGTCAAAGCCGAGTGATGAGTGGTTGCGGTTAGTACATGAATGCAAGCCGCCAGGTATTTTGCTTCTTTGGCGGCCACCTCGAGGGGAATGGACGGAGAAAGTCCCTTCTGGCCCTTGGGCAGTATCTGAGCAGACTTTCAAGTAGAATTGTCATTTCACCTGGATTCAGTGTTTCAGGCTGTCAAATCCGACAATAATATGACTCTACCCTGGCTATATATTGCTTTTTATTCCACTCACGAGGCCCATCCCATGCCATATTTTGAACGTATGTAGCGGGTCTGTCTACCTGAAACATGCGATAACTTAATCCCAAAGATAGTGACAAGAGATTTCGTACGTGGGAAGAAAGGTGGGCCGACGCACGGAGTAATCCAAGTGGAGTTGTGGCGTTGACCATCGAGTGGAGCGGTGGGGTTGGTGGATTTGAGGAATGAGGAGGGAGAGGGCCGGGGCTTTCAGCCTGCTCCATTCCTGAAGCTTGGCCCGGGGATATCATCGCCCGCCCAGGTGCTGATCCTGCCGATTTCGAGCAGAAAAAAATCGCGCAAGCGCAACCGGGCGAAAAGCAGTCACAATTTGTGAGACTCGCAGCCTATGAAAGTCCAAGGCAGGCTGATCGGCCAGCCCCATTCTTCCGTTTTGATGGAGGCGGCACAGGCCAGTGGAGCCTCGAAATAAGGACTTCATGATACCAAGCCCATGGGCTGTGGGCTTCATGCTTAGCTGTCACTTTTCCCTACGCCCGACCGTTGTGGATCTCCAGGTGTAATCCTTCCAAGAACTTAGGCCGCTGCACCTAAGTGATTACATAAGAGCATTCAACCACTTGGCCAAAAGATCATAGAGACAATCGGAACACCCGATTGTCACTGCAGCGGTAAATATACTAGGCCCTAGACTCCGCTAGGGACCACACAGGGGCCACCCAGGAGTCACGTTCGACCGAACTGTGTCTACGAGCGTTCATCAAACAGAGCCGGTCCGCTCGTTGTCGGCAATTTCATCAGTTGATCGGACGACCCTTCTAACTCTACCCAAGAAATCGTCGAGTTACTCAGATGGTGGAAACTCGGAAGCGGCATTGCTGGGAATGCCTCCGGCGTCGCTTGGTCTCTAACTTCAAAGTCCCAGGATGTCACCGATGTGCAGCCTCTGGGATCGATTCTTCTGGATAGTGGATCACCTCCAGGGCCGATCCCCACCTGATTCAGGATTTGATAGCTTCTTTCTTTCTCTTTTCTTCGGAGTCAATATCATCACGTAGTTCTATTTCCTTGATGACCATACCACGATAATTGAGGAACTCATCACCTTGACACGTGTGACCACCAAGAGATGCGTAGAAGAGAGCAACTCTCGTAACTTCAGTGCCCAGGGTGCAGCTCAATTTAATCAGCTGATGCGAGACTTACCTCCAATCCGAGGTCGTAGGTACACCATTCTCTTACATCCAGTAGGAGTAAGGGTTCCAAAATTTCAGTATTTTGGCTTCCTTGATGATTTGGAATTCGACTCGGCTCGCGCAATTAAGCGCAATTAATTGCGCACTGTCATTGGAACTTTGGTGGCGGGTCGAGGTCGATCCACAAGCGCAACTAATTACACTTTCACAATTGATTGTACAATATGAATTCGAGACATTTTGTACAAATCTATTTTCTATCTATATAAGCTTTCTCCTCTTAATCTTAAAGAATAAAGTCATTTCCCAACCCAGGTTCTCAAATCAGATCACCGATACCATGAGGCCCTTCGAAGACAAAATAATTCCTGCCCCTGGAAATCTCCCCAACGTCCCTGCCGACTCCCAACGCGTTTTCCAGGTTCTCAAGTCAGGCGGTGTGGTTATCTTGCCGACCGAAGTGGGCTATGGATTGATGGCCACATCTGCGGAAGCTATTGACCGGGCCTTCGTTGCGAAGCGACGTCGACCAGGTCACGCTCAGGGTCTATATGGAACCCATGAATTGCACCAAGAACTTCACATCCTGGACAGCCGGCGGTTCGAAATGACACGTGTGCTAGTCGAGGACCTAGATATGAGCTTCATGGCCGTTGCACCATGCCGTAACGATCATCATCTTCTTCAGGCTTTGTCGCCACAAACCCTGTCAAAGGTCACCAAGGACGGCACTATCGCTATGTTCATCAGTTGCAGTTCACTTCTGAGAGAGATTTGCAGACTTAACGCTAGTTCAGGCCAGCTCATGGTAGGATCTAGCGCAAACGTGTCAGGTAGCGGACAGAAATTCCGTGTCGAAGATATTGAGGATGACCTCAAAGACGCAGCGGATTTGATTGTCGATTATGGTCTTCAACGCTATCATGTGTATGGACGACCTTCTCTCATTATGGATTTTGACCAGATGAAGATCTTACGAATGGGGTCCTGCTATGAATTGTTCTGCGAGCGCATGCGGAAATTTTGGGGGGTGGACCTGCCCGAGGACCCTGATTACAAACATTAAAGGCAAAGCAGAAGAATGCAATTATATGAAAGACATATTTTATTACTCGTCTAGACCCTGTTACATCTTTACTAAATGTCATCGCCTACATTGGAGCGCTGACTTGTACTTCACAACCTGGTTGTCTAACTCAACCTACCCACTATAAATTCTTACCGTGTTATTATTGTGGCCACATATAATCCCAAACACATAGACATAACTGATTTGGTTTCGAGTATTGATACCAACTGACGTTGAAAACAGCTACTCCCGCAATGGTTGTGAGGGGGTTCGGCCATAGGTGCAGGATGGCGCAGAGAGCCGACAAAGGGTGCAGTGAGGCGACCCTGGTGGTGCAGGATGTCGGTGATGCGAGGATGCCGATCGTGAAGGGCCTTAGTGCTGGCAAGAGGGTGCAAGTTAGGATGACTGTACGGAGTATGCGGGAGGTGATTTGGAATCAAGATCTGGGGATACTTTTTTTCCCGAGAAAACGCTGCCTTCTGACTGACTGAATCACAATGGCAGGTTGGGATTAATTGAGAACATCAGCCTTATCATTATCAGTGTGAGGCCTCGTTACGGAGGTACTCGGGATTTAGGTGGTTTCAAGAAATAAATAGAGAAAGCACTATGCTATACATACCTCGTTAACTAACTACCGGGTACTTCCAAGGTTCTGTTAAGTCTTAGCCATACTGAAATCCCCTTTTGGGCCTTAGTCTCAGCCCTGGCTTGCTTCCCGAGTCGCATTTTAGCCCCCAAAGCCCCCAAAGCCCCCACCTTCGCGCTAGCCAATACAGGTATAGAAGTATGTCGTCCGGTGAGATCTTCGCGCTTTGACTCCACGCGCAATTGTGCGGAAATAAACCTTCCCCGCTCATTTTGTTTTGGCAGGTCAATGGTCGGCAGTCCTTTTGTTCAATGCGCGGATTTCCTCAAAATTGGTGTTTTTTCTATCGATGTCTCGACAGAAAGCAGAACTGACTACGCAGAGATTATTATCGTTTCTCTTTTAGGACATTGTACCGTTAGCGGGCGACATTTTTTGAGACTAATACCTGCCCTAGTCTGATGATCACTTCTACAGCGCTCCAAAATGAAGGCCAGGTGAATGGAGCTACTGCAATCGCCTAGAAGGCTCATGACAGTTGGGTTTTTAAATGAGGAAGCCGTTCTCAATGCATTTTCCATTTTTTCTATTTTCCTTTTGCTTTTTGCTTTTAAGTTTCGCAACTTCCCCTGTCCCATCATGCCGGATGCCATTGATCTTCAAGGTCTGAGTCCGCTAGATCATGTCCCCGCAAAGCTCTTTCTGCCGTATATTCTACTCTTCGACACAACTGACCCTAAAACCGCCGTCTGCTCCCTCCAGAAGGGCATAAATAAACTAATCTCCCAATTGCCTTGGCTCGCTGGAGATGTAATTTTCCACAGTGTGCCCGAAGGGCCCAAGAATCGAATGCACATCGCGCCCCCACGGAGGTCGCCCTCTGAGATCCCCATGCTGCAGGTCAAGCACATTGACCGCGATGAACATTTTCGCGCACTCCCAATTCATACCTATCTCCCTCTGCCAACGTTCATTCCAGCCTCCGAACAGAGACCTGTACTTCGATTTCAGGCCAATGTCTTTCCCAGCAAGATTGTTCTGGCCATGTCCTTCTGGCATAGCGTCTTCGACGGCACCGGGGCTGGCGTCATCCTCGAAGCGATTGCCGAGTGCTGCACGGCGGCCAACGATGATTCCCCTTCTCCCATCGTTCAGAAAATCGCAAAGACCCATACTGAGCTCCGAAAGAAGGTCTCAGCCTTCCCATCCAAATGCCAGCTGCGTCTCGACCACACCGTGGAGCTAGGGGCACCTGTTTTCGACCCAAAGATTTCCACCGAGCAGTGGAATGTAATTGAATCAGCCGCGGCCTCCGCGGTTGAGACAAAGCGATACACATTCAGCCCGGAGAAAGTAGCCCAAGTGAAAGAGACCTGCACTCGACTTCTCCCCCAGGTACAGCCCTTCCCCGCGTGGATCTCGAGCAACGACATCATCACTGCAACGCTGATCATCTGCATCGATCGAACCTTTCACCCAGAAAGGTTGGACAAAACCGGATCTGCAGACTTCTTGATGGCTGTTGATTTGCGCAGCCGCATCCAGCCCCCGCTGCCAGAGACCTATTTGGGTAACTTGATTTTCCCCGTCCACGACGAAATTTACTTTAAAGAGACAGCAGGCCAAACAGGCGAGGAGGCAGACTCGCTCCACCTAGCTCAGCTGGCACTACGTATTCGCAGCAGGCTCACCTCCATGGACGAGACTGTCGCGTACAGCGCGTCCGCCGCCGTCGCAGAGTATGACGACTGGACCAAGATCGAAGCGAACCCTGCGAATATAATTGTGACCAGCTGGCGGGGCCTGAAGACCTTTTCGCTGGATTTCGGCGCTGGGCTAGGCTACATTAAAGATTTTGAGCCGGGGCTTGCGCTTGTTCCAGGTGCGTGTATCTTTTTGCCATCGCGGATGTTGCAAGAGAATAGTGGGTCGACTCCGCCGTGGGAGGTGTGTATCACGATGAAAAAGGGGGATAGCCAGGTGCTTGGTCAGGATCTACTTTTCTCTCAAATCCTGGCGTAACTTTGTGCGTGAAGATTCAGGTTTGAGTTGCCAGCGTGTAGTTTGTTTAATACGAACAAATGCTGTGAATGTCAATCGTCGTGTCTCCTGTTAATTCACCCGAACTTTCTATCATTTACAAATTCCTCGTAAAACCCATAAATGCTTTGCTTCCCGTACCTCAATCCAAATAGCCTCGATATTATAAGAAAACAAAGGAAATATTTTAAAATTTATAGGGCAAATGCCACTAGAAATACCGTTTTCTTTACGTTTTACGTTTTATTAGGTACTCTGTTATAGACGTTAGAATCATATAAGGTAGATGTCCCCTATCACTCAAATATCTCTTTATTTTTCTCGGGCCTCTACCTATCACCATCTTGGTGCCATCACCTTCGCAAAGTGAGTCTTCCTTTTCCCTATACTCCATGTGTCGATCCTCTAACACATTCTCTTTCTCTAAAGCCCAAAATACAACCCCGAGCCCTTATTCTTAGCTTGACTTTGGCTTCCTCGGCGCTTCCCTTGCTATTTGGACCTCACTTATTCATCACGGGATGGCTCTGAGCCCGGACTGAAATTTACTCAGAGATCCTGACTCTGAGGGCCGTCATAAAAGTGGCGGCAGCTTAGATAGGAATGCCCCACTCGGCAGAGGAAAAATAGTGAGTCTAGCTACCTAGGTATATGTGAGACAAAATCTGAGCCCAAACCCATGTCCAATGCCAAAATGCTAGCGCCCCACAAAACAAACGTTAACCTAAAAATATCCTATGGTACTCCCCGTTTCGCTTCCAAGGCTCCAATGTTTTTTTAACCTCATGTTCGTTCTTTTAGCATTACTTCTCATTTCGAGAAGGTCCTTGCCACTCCCCGGAGTCTCGATATCACGTATAGCCGACCGGGGAGTCACTAATGACTTTGGAGAGAATATGTTGAAGGTGATCATAGTCAAGAACATCAGAGCAGCATCAAAGACATACAGATACACCTCCGTCGACATAAGCGGACCATTTGTACCGGTAATGTACTCAATGGCACGGAAAATAGACCGAATCATGATGAACAGACTAGCCGTGTATAGGACGTACAAGCACTTCATCCAGGGCACCGCGATAGCAGACTTGGGAGCGCAATCATTGCATTTCGAGAGCCGGTAATGGAACATACTAGCAGTCACGATGAAGAATCCGAAGAAGGCAATTTGGATGAAAAGACCGACAATAATGATGTTTTGTCCGAGAGTAATCTTAGACTGGCTCTTTGCGGAAGAGAGGAAGCCACCACCAGCACATTGGGCGAGGAAAGAGATCACGTCGCCGCAGACAAAGATTTTAGTCAGCTATTTCACTCGGATGAGAGAGAGCTGTTCATGGCTAGTAGAGATGATCGAGCGGCCTAGAATCATATATATGGATGCGGCGAAGAATGCCGGTGCGATAAGGAGCAAGAGTGATTGCATGATATACGGAGCTGTTGTCCAATCGGGGATTCTCGCGAGTTAAGATAGCGACCGACATAGCCGACAGCTTCAACTACAAGCAAGTTAGATTGCAGGTCTTCGTTCCTGGGTGGGGTATATACTTACAGGTTCCTCCAATAATGAAAGGAATGAAGAACCATGATCGACTCCGGATCATTTGGAAAATGTGTACGAGAGTAGTTAATCCGAAGAGAACGACGAAGATGATAGCCGCAACTCCTGACGGGTCATAGTTGTAGAGGGTGGAGTCGTTGGCCATGGCTTCGGTTGCTTGAATTGAGGAAAGGAGAGGTCACTGTTGAAAATTAAGGATAGTATCGAAACTGAAAGCTATGTTGACTGAAATAATACAGTCCACGTAGATATTGACGGACGCTTTTATATCTACTTGTACTACTATGAATTTCTGCAAGATCTAGTGCTAAGCCCTGAAAAATCTATTTTGGTGGGTTCACGTACTCGGCTTGGAATCCGAGAAAATGTAGGCAGCCTTGTTCCTAGAAGCTTATTTTGGGTATAAATCCAGACTGTGACTGGGCGTAAAGCTATAGGTTCTAGGCTGCCGGTTAAATTCAATTTGCTTCGAGTTTTTGTGGATTTACCTGTGGACCGTGGATATTTAAAGATCAAAGATCCGAACCCGAATCTCATCCCAAATAAGAGTAAATTTCGGACCTATTATTGGTCACAAAGTTCGGATTCGTAACCTTATTTGCCGTATTCGGGTTCGGATTTTCCAATCTGTCTACCTAGGTAGGTATCCCCTTCATCGGTGCGCCTGCAAGTCTTGTTCGGTGAAGATAATAAGCTTAAAATCATCTAAATACCTAGGCCATGGTAGGTGTCAATTTTTCTGCCTAAAGACAACTCAACCCTGTTCAATAAAGTGGAACATATTAGGAGGATCCAAAATGTTGATCCAAAACCGAGCCTTTGCCGTGATCATCATGGAGAATACTCAAAAAAGAGTTGATTTCACGGTATATTTAGACTAGAGTGGAACCGCCCTAGGCACAGATTCCATGAAAACAGGAGGCAGAAGAGTCGCAATCTTCTATAAGAATGGATCGTCCCCTGCAGTTATCTGAGAAGCATCGACCACAGATTTGATTTTGCAACAATCAAAATGCAGCTTCTCTTTCCCTTCCTTCCCTTTGTCGGGTTGTCCCTTTCGGGCTTTGCGTCCGCCAATGTGATCAGCGCAAGCGCTTCGGTGACAGTAACGGGCTTCCTCTCCACTTCTTCCGGTACTCTTCAAGTTTCCAAGGGAGCTTCATGTGCTTGCTCAAAACTTTCTCACTCTATGCCAAAGAGCGTGCTCCTTCCTGGCTCGGAAAGCTACAGGACCCAGACCATCGATAACTACTGGGATATCCGGGCCGATCTTTCTCCTGCGTGTGTTTTCGTGCCCAACACTGCTGCTGAAGTGTCGCAAGCAGTCAAGATCATCGGTGCATGTGGTGCGCAGTTTGCTGTTCGTGGTGGAGGCCACATGAACGTAAGTATATACCCTAGATTGCAATAGAAACTATGAAATTGTACTAACTCTCCGACTCGACAACAGTATCCTGGAGCGAACAACATTGATGCGGGAGTCCTGATTGCTCTATCAAATCTGAACTCCATCAATGTGAAGAGTGACACCGTAGAGGTTAGCCCTGGTCTCAATTGGTACCAGGTGTACTCAGCACTTGAGCCTCACGGTCGTGTCTGCATCGGTGGCCGTATGAAGACAATTGGTGTTCCCGGGCTCACTCTCATCGGTGGCTTCCACTACTTCAACAACAAGTACGGATACGCCATGGACAATGTGGTCACCTACGATATCGTTCTTGGAAACGGAACTCAGATCACTGTCAACAAGACCTCGCACAGCGACCTCTTCTGGGCTTTGAAGGGTGGTGCAAACAACTATGGAATCGTCACCAAATTCGAACTGAAGACTTACGCGGTTCCTAAGGTTAGCACCACTATTCAAGTTTTCAACGAGACAAACATCCCCCACTTCCTTTCGGCTGTCTGCGAGGCGGCTAAGCTAGATGATAAGGATCCCATTGCTGCGGGCATGATCGCCACTGTTACCTACAATGCTACTACCAAGGTGGCACAGGGCTCTGTCCTCGGTGTCCAGGAGGGTGTCAGCAGCCCCCCGTCTCAGTTCGCCAACTTCACCAAGATTCCAGCGGTCCAAAGAATTAACAATGTCACTACCATGAAGCCGTGGGCTAATACCCTTGACGCCCCTAAGCAGATGATGCGGTATGTAATCTCGACTGACTGCAGTTTTCTGGTTACTGATTTAATTAGTGTCCAATTTTCTCACAAGACAATGAAGCCCGACGCCAAGGTTCTTTATTCGATTTACAGTGCTTGGAAAGCCGCAGTCGACAAGATCGCTGATGTTCATGGCCTTCGCCCGACTTTTGTTACCAATGTTATCTCCCCGACTTCAGTCCGTGTGGCTAAGACCAACGGTGTTGGCAACGTCTGGGGTCTGGAAGAGGAACCTCTTATAAGTAAGTCTCTCCAAAGTTGCTCCAGTCTCGCTTCTTATACTTACCGTTATTGTACAGTTTGGCAATTCAGTACCGGCTGGGACCTAGCCCAGGACGATATTCGCATGGAAGCTTGGTCTCGTCAATTGACTGAGCACCTCCACGGTATCATCAAAAAGATGGGGCTTGCTTCCGAGTTCGTCTACATGGGTGATGCTGGTGAGTGGCAAGATCCTTATGCGGGCTTCCCCAGTGAGAACGTCGCTCGCATGAGAAAGATCAGGTCTTCTTATGATCCCGCTGGAGTTTTCTCCACACTTAGCTGGGGTGGATTCAAGCTGGGTTTGTAAATAGACTTGGATTTCCGCATTTTGGTGGATCTAACGACAAGGTCTCCGTAAGTGACGCTTTTGTCGTCTGTACAATATTTGCAAGCAGTTAGGTACTTCTATAGAGCACCTATATAAAGCCATTATCACTACATGTGGGATTAGATGGAACCCAAAGGACATAGAAAGGATGCATAGTTGATTTTTACCCCCTTTGTATACACTTAAAAAGGCATCAACAGACTTTCAAGCGAAGTTGCCACCAATAAAACGATCGGGGAATGATCACCGGCCAACCTCGTACATTAATGTCACCAATTATTTTTTTAACCTGCCATCTCTCTAGGTAAAATGGACGAATAGTATGACAATATCCATTAGTTACCAAGCATTTCCAGGCCTTTTAAGAGGCGAACAGCCGTTCATTGGAATGTATAGGGAGTACCCACATACCACGCACACCTAGATCGACATCGCATGGACTCTTTGGGACTGGAATGTGCGATCAGACAGCCGATTGAGAGAAGATAGGATTTTATGACACTTGCCAGCCCCTGAGTATGATGCAGAAGTTCGATCTGAATTTTAAACGCGTTTCACGTTCAGCGTCATAGTCATTCCAGTCATTCTTCTCTGCCATCCCATTACCGCGATGTGGCAATCATGGAATGAGAAAAATGATAAGGCGTACTATTTATATAAGAGGAGATGAGTGTCTTGCTTCCTATGTTTTGCAATCACACAATTCTATCTGATCATCAAAAACTATAACTTCGCGGATATCAAAATCACCTCAACCATGCATTCCCTCACCACATCATTCATCTCCCTATCGCTGCTATCAAGCACAGTCCAATCCCAAAGCATCGCCCGCGTTTGGACACACTTTTACCCAAACTGCCCCGGCGAAGCATTCAGCAAACTCGACACATACGAAAACTACCAAGAATCTGGCCCATCCCAAGATATCGCCATAGACAGCTGCAAAAACTTCGCCGTCCCCTCTTACGAACACAACCTCGTCAGCGCCATTTCCGTTGACGCAGAGCTCCTCTCCCACAACCACGACCTCCCCTTCCTGGAAGGCGGTAGCGGCTGCAACATCACAGTACACGAGGTCCCAGGATGTATCGACCCGCCCCTAATCAGCAAAGAGATTAGAAATGGGGTCGAAGTCAGCCAGTGCGAGCCCCGCCAGTTCGTCGCTTACAGCCAGGTCTGGGTGAATCTGGTTTGTGATAGCGATAGTCCCCTCCACGATGAGAATATTCCTGCAAAGGAGAACAAGCAGGCAGATACCAAGCAGGCCGCGCACATTGCCCAGCCCAATGCGCCTGTGCGCACAGAGAAACAGACCTCCGTTGAGGATATCAGTAATATCCAGATGCCCGGGTCAAATTCGGATTCTTGGCGTTCGTCACAGGTTACGCAGAATCAGCATGAACCGGTGCAGGAGGAGCGTGTTAATGATGCTGGCCATGCGGAGAGCGACCGGATTGTTCATCACATGATGGAGTTGTTGAAGAATAAGACTTCGCATATCGTCTCGGGCAAGCACCATGCTAGTCACTTGAATGTTACACTGCATCACAATGGCACTGCCCCGGGAAATCACACTGTGATGTCTCGTCGCCGTTTGTCTGTTTTGCGAAACCGAGCTGCTCGGTTTGTTTAGCGTTGGTTTTTGATTGTATATCTGAGCGTTTTGTTCATGTTTAACGAGTTGGAATCCTTTGTGTATACAAGATAAATTAAAAGTCAACTGTTATATTTGAAGATTGCTCGATTCTCCAGTCCATTGTATTAATAAAGTGGTAACCGAAGGCTAGACGCGATGTTCCCTGTACTTTGAACTGAACTCAAAGTAGGGTAGATAAAAAGCTTCAATGGGTGGGGCCGAGGCGAAGATGTTTTCGGTGTAGTCCGGTCTACTGACCAAACGAAATGATATTTTGTATCAATTGTAGACACACCTCAGACTGTACAATAGCAAGACACTTTATGGTACTTCCTGCATGGGTGTAACAAATTTATCAACAAGCTGCACGCATGATTCACAAGTTAATATTCTAACTTGTCTCTTCGTCGGCATCTTGAGCTGCCTGCTTCCGACGGGCAGCCTCTTTACCAGCAAAGCTGAACAACATGCCAAGATCATAGATCACTTTCAAGCATCCAGCAATCATGAAGGACACACCGAAATGGCCATTGCGCGACAAGATACCTGTCAACAAGGGACCCATGCTCTGGGCGGTAGTCTTCACAACATTCACCGCGCCCATGATAGCAGTGCGCTTGTCCGCCGGCAGAGCCGCAGCAAGGAATGCGGAGCGAGGCGCCACATCCATGTTCTGGGAGCAGGCTCGCAGAATCAAGAAGGTCAGTGCCAGAGGCAAGCTAGTTGGGACGGAGATGAGAGCCAGACAGATTGCCGACGGCAGATGAGTGAATACCATAGTCTATCAAAAGGTGAGAAGTCGCTCAGCTGCCCAAATAGAAATAATGTCTTACCTTGACATTACCAATTCGTTTGGCGAGGGACGAGGCGACCAGCATGGATGCGGCGGAGATGATGTTTGTGGTGAAGAAGATAGTGCCGAGTTCACCTTCAGGCAGATTGAACTTGCCCTTGAAGAAGTAGGTCATCCAGGACCTGAAAAATTAGCATTGTAGCTGACAAAAAGCTCCGGGATCAACACTCACAATGAAGCCAATCCAGACGCAAACGAGTCCACTCCAAACAGAATGAAGAGACGGATAACCAGTGACCACAGGTCCTTTTCGATAGACGGGAACAGTCCCTTCTTCTTCGGGACCGGCTCGACATTCTGTTCGACTGGTTCTGCCAGCAGCGGTCGGGTTTCAGAGCTCTGCTCCTGCGGCTCTTCTTTCTGGACCTCGACTTTTCCACTCAGGCCCAAAGTGAAGATTAACTTGACGATGCCAACGCCAGCATAAACGAAGAAAATGATGCGACAGGCGGGAATAAAGGCCCATCCGTGGATTGACTCCAGAGAATTGATGATCCAACCACAAACAAGCATGCCCAAGGCTGAGCCAGCAGTTCCAATCAATGAATACCAGGCAAAAATATCACTCAAAAGCTCATGTGGTGTGAGATGAGCCAAGGTGGATTCCTCGATGGCGCGGAACGGGCCAATTTCATTTCCACTAATAAAATTAGCTCAGATAAAAGTAGAAGCAAAAAAAGGAGATACGGATACGAACCTTGGACTAATGACACCAAATACTGCAGCTGCGAGTAAAATCCAAAAATTTCCGAACAGCGCGAAAATGACTCCGCTGCAAGCCATGAGTATTGATCCGAGCGATAACACCGCCTTGCGACCCATAGAATCAGCGAACAAAGTGAGGAAGAAACTAATCACGACATCTCCGACCAGCGTGAGAGTCATAAACAAACCAATGCGATCGTCTGAAATCCCGATGGCCGATAGATACGATGCTAGTATCAAGGTCGAGCCGCCGTACGCGAAGAGGCGCACGAAGCGCTGCGCGCAGAGAAGCTTCACGTCGAGCGACGACCGCCACATGGTGGTTAGGCCCAGCTCTTCGAGAACGTGGGCCATGTAACGTGCTGGTCGTGATTGATTCTCCATTATCAGATTATCAGATGGGTTGAAGGAAGAAACAATTCGACAGGTTAAAAGACCAATCACGTTTTAACTCCGACCTCGGACTCGGGGTTCGGGCCGGGGCTAAGCTTTTTTAGGAGAACTGAAGAACTATATTATTCATCGATCTCTTTTGGAATATAGAAAAAAATTATGTACAAATATTCTCACAGTTGTGTCCTCTCCTCAATTACTGCTCAGTCATGGGAGGCCATTTCACTCGTCGTTCCGCACGCACATACAAGTTGGTAGGACGAATCAACTGGAACATGGGATCATATTCGACCGGCCCATCGTTCTCTTTCGTGAACTTGTACCGGTACAACAATTTGGGCAAAAACACTTTGACTTCCTGTAAGGCAAAGCTGAACCCAATGCACATACGCGGTCCTGCAGCGAAGGGAATATACGCAGTCTTATGACGGTTCTTCACTTCCGCCGTATCCCAACGATCCGGATCAAACCGTGCTGGGTTAGACCAGACCGCTGGGTTGTTGTGTATGTGGTGAAGGGCAGGGATGATGATAGAGTCTTCGGGGAGCTTATATCCACCTGGAAGAATCATATCGACCTTGGCAGTGCGCGCAGGCTGGTATGAGGGGTTATGACGGCGCTGGGTTTCTTTGATGAACTTGTCCAAGAATGTCAGACGGTCCGTCAGATCTGCGGTCATTGGGGTATCGGCATCGATGCCGTTGTCAATCAATTCCTGTAGGAGTCTCTCCTGCATTCCGGGATAGTTGACTAGCGAGTAAAGCAGCCACGACAGCAATGAGCTGGTAGTCGTGAAACCAGCGCCAGTGGCCACTACTAGTGCCTCCATCAAACTTGTCTTAGGCAATTTCTCGCCCTTGTTATCGGTGGCACGAATAATATAATCTACTTAAATGTCAGTTCAAGCTTTCCAACTTCTAGTCATTGCACTTACCGATCATGTTAGAGGCCTGCAATGCAGCATCCTGCAACGGGAGATCCTCGACACCATTCCGAGAAGCATTTTGAATTGACTCATTCACCATCTCAATGATACGATGGCGCGCATCCCGTAGGCGTTGCGGGTCACCGAAAGGCAACTTAGCATACCAATCACCACGGGCGGTCACCTTCTTGTTCAGCTCCAATGACTCGGCAATTCGGTAGACAAGCTCGTGAGGTGGCGCATCCACGGCGGAGAAATGCTTGAAGTCAATACCGAGAACCAACTTGCCCACGGCCTGTGCACCGAGCTTGAGCATATACGGGTAGACGTTCCAAGCCTCGCCGCGCTCGTCTAGCTCGTCGAACACACTAAATGCATCCTCGACGGTTTCTTGCATAGTGGGTGCGTAATGACGCACTGCTTTCGGGCCCAGTGCTGGCGGGAGGAACTTGTGTGCCGCGCGCCATTCGGGTGTATCTGTGTCACCCAAAAACACACCAGCCTGTTGGTTCCTGATCGGGTGTAAAGGGTGGGCCTCGTTGATTCTCTTCGTAAAGAAATCCGACTCGGAGAAAACGATGGCCGATAGCTCGGGATCATTGGTGTGGTAGACTGTCCGACCCATGTTGGTGGTTTGAATGATGGGTCCATATTGGTCGAAGAGACGCTGGTGATTCCCTAAGTGGTCGGGATAGACCTCAAAGTAGTTTCCCACGAATGGCAGCCCCTTAGGACCGGGAATCTCCCGTACTGCCTTTCCATCTATTGAGATAGCAATAGGCTCTTCGTTGGCAAGGACCTCCGAGGGAGTGGACAACATCGAGTCCTCTGACTGAAATCCGATGCCTAACACGAGAGTTAGAATGGTATCAGAGGCAATAAGATAAGAACATACCATTTGGCTCAACGATGGCAAATTGTCCAGCAATGAGAAGCTGAAGTCCTTGGTAGTCGACTGTTGTCTCTACCTCAATTGGGCGAGCTGAGGTGATAGCCTCACCCAGCAGGTAGAAATGTTTGGCAACCATCGTGAAATGGGAATGAAAATAATATCGTGGTCTTCCTCTCTTGCCCAGGTGAAGGGCCCGCTCACATTTATAAGGATCTAATTATCTGAGCCATTTGGAAATGATGGACGACTCCACTATCGATGAAAACCCGTCCCGATTCTTTTTTCATTTCATAAGAGAAGATTGCATATCTCTGTGAGCCTCGGTTCAAAATATTTCTTAATTAGGATCCACAATAACACCAGATTGCAGAAATAGTATAGTGGACGTCGTTTCGGGCTGTGGCCGACGGCACTGGCGCGAAATGTGCCGTCTCAGACGGCCCCACCGACAAGATAGAGCGTTTTTAATTTAATTTCTTCTTCAAGATGCCGAGGCATTTTGAATCCCTGCTTCCTGGTAGGCTGGTTTTATGTACATATCGGTGGTGCTAAGTGGGCTATTGCGACGATTCCATGTTCCAGTACGGAGTACTTTTCGTGATATTAAATTAAGTCTCTGTCCTTTTGATTTTTTTTTTTTTTTTTGCAAAATCATTCATTCACAATGTCCGTTCCAGAAACAAAAGAGCTGAAGGCTGAGTGGAAGGCAGATGTCGAGCTGCCAGAGTATACATTGAAAGATGTGGCAGCACACAACACCAAAGGTGATACCTGGATGGTCATCCATGGACAAGGTAATAACCTTTTAAAATAATCAAAAGACGGTGCTAACATTGCAACAGTATTTGAACTCACAAAATATCTGCAAGATCACCCAGGTGGTGCAGATGCTCTCATCGAGGTAGCCGGCACTGATGCCACAGCAGCCTATGAGGATGTTGGCCATTCTGAAGACGCCCGCGAGATCATGCAGCCATTCCTGGTGGGCACTTTGAAGGATGCGCAGCAGTACGTCCGGCCCAAGGCAGTGCGTGTTGTCTCCCAAAAAGCACCTGCAGAGGCCAGTCCCTCCTCATCATCGGCTATCAAAACGATCGCTTGTGCTCTGGGTGGACTGATCCCTGTCTGCTACATCTTCACCCAAAACAACAACCTCACAAACAGCCTGGGAGCCATCTCCCAACTGATCCCTCACCAACTGAAGAACCTACGACTACCCCATGGAGGCTTCGTCAACGGGTTTTTAGCCGCTTCTGCTATCTCCACAGTGGTGGGAGTAATGGTAGCGCGCCAGGCCAGCAGATTCACCAAGATCGACTCTGGATTCATGCGCTTCCCACCTCATATGAAGTCCAAGAAGGTGGTTCGCGTCGATCCGCATCTGACACGCGGGTTCCTCGAACCGCAACAATATCAACGCCTGCCACTCGTTGAAAAGACCGAACTTGCAACGAATGTCTACCGTTTTGTCTTTGCCCTGCCAACCGCCACGGGTGTATTAGGTCTACCCATTGGCCAACACGTCGCCATCAGAGCCGTTGTCGATGGAACGACCGTCACTCGCTCATACACCCCTACCTCCAACAACATCGACCGGGGCCGTATTGAACTCGTCATCAAATGCTATCCCGACGGTCTATTGAGCGGGAAATATCTGGCCGGCTTGACCGTGGGCGATGAAGTCGAATTCCGCGGTCCCAAAGGCTCGATGCGCTACACAAAGGGTCTTTGTCGCAAGATCGGTATGGTGGCCGGCGGCACCGGTATCACACCCATGTACCAGCTTATCCGGGCAATCTGCGAGAATGACACCGACACGACAGAAGTCAGTCTGATCTACGCGAACCGCAGTGAGTCCGACATTCTCTTGCGCGAGGAGCTTGAACGCTTTGCGCGTCAGTACCCGAAGAACTTCAAGCTGTGGTATATGCTGGATTCTGCGCCCGAGGGCTGGACCTATGGATCGGGATACGTGGACCAGGCTGTTCTGGCAGAGCAGCTCCCTGCGCCATCGCCAGACACTAAGGTCATGCTATGTGGGCCGCCCGGGATGGTTAATGCCACTAAGAAGAATTTGGTTGCGTTAGGGTTTTCCAAGCCAGGGGTGGTCGGGAAAATGACTGATCAAATATTTTGTTTCTAGAAAGTTGCTTAATATAGTAATAGAACAGCCGAGGCTTTGAGTTAGGTTTTCTTGTTTCTTGGTTTTGTTGAATTGATGGGACGGCGTTGTCCGACCACCTTGCCGAATGCGTTTTCGTGTCCGAAAGAGGCTCCACTCGCCGAGCTGCTTCCCGAGACTTTGACTGGTTGCTTATCTGTTTGGATCCAGGGGGTTATGCCCGGATGTTGTATCCTCCGTATAATGGTATAAATTAATGTACATAAACACTATGCCAGACTAAACGGGAAATGGACATGGATAAATATAACCTGTCTCTCTCAAACACTCCATATCATCATCTGGATAAAAGACCATCAATTCATATCGGTCTTCGAAGACTTGCGTTTGCTTCGACGCCTGTGAGATCTCCGACGCTTCTTCCTTGGTTTTTGTTTCTCCCGCGATCGAATCATGAAGCGCACCGGTTGTCCTAATCTCCCTTCTCTTGTCTGGAGCTTAGTCCTCAAGTTCATTTCCGTCGATATCCTCACAAGTGGAGAGATGTACGACTTGTCATCCTTCGAACGCGAGTATCGACGAAAATACCGCGGAAGATCGGACGAGATGGTAACAGTCTTCTTTTCCCTCGCCGGTTTCTCATCAGCAGGATGAGGATCAGGATCAGGATCAGGATCAGGAGGCGGTGTGGGATCTTTCGAATCAACTGGAACTTTGCGCGACCGTCGAGTCAACGCCCGCGACTGCAAACGACATAGATAAAGATAGTATAAGAGCAGTAGAAAGACCACAGCACCGAGGATACACCCCGCTATTGCGCCTTTGTTTCCATCTGATAGTCCGCTGCTTGTGCCTGAATGGGTTTGCTCAGGTGTCGGAGTTTCAGCTATGCTGACCACGTGGATGACAGTCGTGAATGGAGTTGTCGCTGTCCATGTAACCAAGTTCAACGTTGGCCACGGGCTGGTATTCTCCAGGGTAATGACTGACACAAATGTGGTGTCGGCCTCGATCAGGGTCTGGGTAACCTCGCGAATCGCAGGTGCCATTGCCCGACAACGAATTGAACAGGCATGATGGGCTTAAGTGTCTATGGCAGCTTCACTTCTTTCGCGCCACTAACACGTAGGGTATGCACGAGCGGATTGAACCGGTCTTTTAATTTATGTGATAACGCAATCGAATTGGTGACAGTAGTATCTTCTGACTTAGTTATGCAGCTTACCCGGAGCAGTCACGGGAATATCACGGCGATTGGTGGAATTGGTTGTAAGTCGCATTGTGAGGCCAGCTCACTGCATTTTGGTGCAGGGATTCTGATGAGCACGTTATTAAAACGAGCACCTGTGTGGGTTTTTCTTCCGTAGATACTACCAGGGGGTCTCATGTTGCCTGATTTTATTTATCAAGGCGCCGAACACCTGTGGGTATTCGTTGGACAGTCATGCAGCTTGATCTCCAATCAATTCCTTGCCCCAAGGAAAATTAGCGCAGGTGTATGGTCGCCTCGCCCGCACGGATGAACTCACTCGATACTCGATAAAGAGTCCTCAACTCTTCCACTTTCAGAGCGAACCAATGGTATTGAATATATATATGACATATAATCTCTATAAATTTACAGCTTCGCACGCGCAGGAGCAAAGTTCGACCCAGCACCCTGACTAATAGCCTCAACGATAGCATCAACACTATTCAAAATCCAAGTATTCCCCTCATCACTAGCCAGCCACCGCGCAGCCTCTTCCCCCTCAACATCATTCACCCACGAGCCATCCTCAATCGCCTTCCGCAACCCAAACACATGCGAAATGACCTGGGGACCAACACCCGACTGAGCGCGCAAACACGAGACAGCAACAATAGACGTTAGAATGCGCCCAGCAGAGGCGCCAGTGCTACGCTCCGGATCAGACAACAGGGCACCGTAGTTACTGTGCAGGATGTGCACCGGTAGGTCGGGGTGTGAGTCGGCCAATTTATTGAATAGCTTATTCTCGAATGGGCGGTAGATAGAATCCCAGAGTGCGTGGCCGCGCTCACTGATCGCGGTGATGTTCTCCGGTGTTGGGGCGCGGGTGGGGATGCGGGAGAGCTGGCTGCCGACTGAGTCTGGGAGGCTGGCTCGAAAGGCGTTGAGGCAGTTTATGGTACGTGGGATGCCGTTGAAACTAATGCATTTTAGACCGACTTCGCGCATGAGCTCGGCGGTCTCGACTTGTTTGTCGGGGTTGGTGCTGGCTAGCTCGTAGAGGGCGGCGAGGGACTCCGGGGAGTTCATGGTCATTGTTGCTGCGGTCTGACATTGATGTTAGATCACGTTCAATCTTAGCTACAGGGATTGACTCACTGAAAGTGCGACCCATGATGGCTGCGAGATCTGTTTGGATTGCGCCGTCTGTTGGATCTTTTGGTAGACCGAGGTTATGTTTGCTGGCGCTGGGACAGTGGATGGCCGGGCGGCAGGGGCATTGATCAATGCCTTGAGGCTGGTTGAAAGTCTAGACATGTCAGATGATGAGCTCTTTTGCCCTGGGTGTGGATGTTTTTCCATTAAAGAATGGGTGCTGGAGACCAATTCTCCTGCCGACCTCGGGAAGTGGAAACAAACGGAGCTCAGAAGTGAACACCGAAAGATACCAGGAGGGGCCGTAATTTAGCAGTAACTTAACTGTATTATTTCTGTAATATTACCGGTGGGGAACACATCAAAATCCGGGGATCGCGGGGAAACCAAAGTGCCGGACACGAACTTAAGGAAGCTCTTGCCATTGGATGAAACGGGGGCTGGAGAGGGCCTGGAAGCTCGGACCCAGAAGTGCCAGCCGAAGAAGCTTCTCTCTGACCGTTTGTGGGCTATTTCTTTCAATTCGTTTCCTCTTTTTTCACTATCCTAATCTACAACAGATAATCTAGGAGAATAAGATCATTCGTGCGTCGCCAAGCAACTAACCAAGTCACCATGGACCCACCCAAGTCAAGAGTTTCAGAGGTCGAAGATGCAAAACCATCGCCCCTCGATCGACATGGCGACCTCGCGCATCAGCAGAAATTGACACGGAAGGTGTTGTGGAAGCTGGATATACAGTCAGTCCAGGCATTACAATCAGAATTCGCTTGCTAATACTTGCCAGTATTCTTCCTATTCTAGCACTGCTTTTCCTCATGTCATTTTTGGACAGAACCAATGTCGGTAATGCGAAGATTCTCGGTTTAGAAGCGGACCTTTCTATCACAGATCATCAGTATGATATCGGCTTGGCTGTGTTCTATCTCACCTACATTTGCAGGTACGTTGTCTTCCATTGGATCCTAGCACCAGAGGCTAATTGATATGGAAGCGAGCTGCCGAGTAATCTGGTGCTCAAGAAAGCATCGCCGAAGATTTGGCTGCCGTTCTTGACGGCGATTTGGGGCATCATTACCATGTGTCTAGGATTTGTGCAGAATTTTGCTGGTTTCGTCGTCGTCCGGGCTTTATTGGGCATTGCGGAGGGGGGTCTTCTCCCTGGCATGGTACGTTTCCAACACTAGACGGGATTGACACTGCTCATAGCTAACAAAGAAAAAAGGTCTTGTATTTATCTTCTTTCTACAGACGGGGCGATTTGGCTCTGCGGATTGGATTGTTCTACACCGCTGCTTCCCTGTCAGGCGCATTTGGAGGTACATACGCATTGATTTCATCTACCTCTCGGCAGATGCTAACAAATTAGGGCTTCTCGCTCGCGGACTGGCCGAAATTGGGCCTCGAGGGGGTATAGAAGGTTGGCGCTGGATCTTGATTATCGAGGGACTTTTGGTATGTGAAGGTGACTTCCATTAAAACAAAAAATTTTGTCTGACTTTCAATTAGACATTTGTCTCTGGAGTGTTTAGTTTCTTCGTCCTTCCAAATAGCTTGGAGTCTGCATCTTTCTTGACGGTGGAGGAAAAGGAATTCGGAGGGAAAAGGCTGATGCTTGATAGCCCCGGATCCCTAGAGTAAGCTTTTCTGGCCCACTGCATGATAAAAGCTTGGCTGACGCAAACAGTTGCTTGACGCCTGAGGCAGAATCGTTCAAATGGTCCGAAGTACGTCGAGGTGTGCTGGATCTACAAGTGTGGCTCTCTGCCTCGGCGTATTTTGCCATTCTCTCTGGACTATACTCTTTTGGCTTGTTTGTATGACCTCCCTATTTCTATATCCGTCTAAAAGCCACTGACGATTTCTAGTTGCCGACGATTATCAAAAACCTCGGTTTCGCCAAAGATGCAAACGAGGTTCAGTTGTGGTCTGTGATACCTTATGCTGTCGCAGCCGTGCTCACAGGTTTGTCTACTTTTCAATTAATTTTCTTAAATGCTCATCCATTTTTTAGTCGTCGTTGCCATAATCTCCGACCGTCTCCGTCTCCGAGGCGTGGTGATGCTCTTCACGCTGCCAATCGCTATCATTGGATATGCAGCCATCGCCAATATTGACTCCCCTCGCGTCCAATATGGCATGACCTTCCTTATGGCAACTGGTCAATACGCCAGTGTACCGTGCATCCTGGTCTGGTTATCGAACAACTCTGCGGGACATTATAAAAGAGCCACTACATCAGCGCTGCAGCTGGCAATTGCAAATGCTGGAGGATTTGTTTCGAGTAAGTCGTCCACATACTGAGATTATTTTGTCATACAGATCTCTAATATCAGTGCTATAGCTTTCAACTATCCATCTCGAAATGGGCCCCTCTTTCACCGTGGACATACCATTATCCTTGGGTTGCTGGTGTTTGCATGGTTTATGTGAGTATATTTATTTTTCATTCGCCCAAGGGTCATTGCTGATTTACATAGGATTCTATTTAACGTGCTCTACTGCGCGAAGATCAACCGAGACAAAAGGAGGGGTAAGTACGATCAATACGCGGGGTACAACGATGATCGTAACCCAGACTTTATGATGGTGTTATGAGTGATGTCTAGTAGACATAATTTACGTGCTCTATAAATCTCCTGGTTGCGGTTTCTGGATTAGTTTATTACTTTGGATTCAACGTATTATTCTGCACAAATCGTGTTATACCCACCACTGCCACCAGTGGCGACGCTTCCAGTCCTGCTTAGTTACACCACTTAAATCATCCGTATTTACCACATCCACACCCTCGTGCACAAGTACATGCCAAACCTTATTCCGCAGTCCAACCGGCCAATTAGGAGTTCCCCAATACCGTACCTTCAGTCCCAACTCATGGGCTGCATGTATCTGACTCCGAAGAATAGCGAGCTGAGCATCCGACAGACGACCAAGATACAGAGGCCCAATAGTCTTGTGGAAATCTGTTGAGGCATAATAGCTGTTGAATGGGTTATAGGTGGACTCCATTAGTTTGTTGTAATCTGCCGTTATTCCAGTGGGGAAGGTCAAGTTGCCAAGAGGTGCATCGTAAAAGACATCGCGGTAGGTCGAGTTCTCGGCGATCATATGAAAAGGTGCATCTCCACCGACAACAACAGTAATTGGGCCGTATACAACATCAGAGCCATTGAAGTGAGTCAGGTAGCCCTTTTCACGCAACGGGTTCAGCTGTTCGAGAAGAAGAGCCCAGGTCCGATCACCCTCGGTTTTGCAATCGATCAGCAAGGTCAGGGTCTGTCTTGGGTCATAGGAAAATAGCCCGACCATTTCCTGACTTGTAACTTTCGGCCAGTTACGAGAAGGAGGTGCATTGTGTGTGTCGAGCACCTTCAGTAACGGGTCAAGATAGAGGCTCTGCAATGTTCCCGGGAGGACTGTGGAAGGTGAATGGCCCACTAAGATATCACTTCCCCATGGCCAGACATCAACCTCGACACCGGTACATCCTGCACGAAGTGCTGAGTGTAGGGGGATGTGACGCCAGTAGTCGTTGTGCGAGTTGCATGGTACGGGGATGACGCCGTGGTTAGACCAGTTAGAAAGCCTCGAGTAGTGTTCACTGGGGAACACATCCAAGGCGAGATCATGTTGAAAGAGATAAAGGAAGCATTGCGATGCAACAGTGAGGATGCCACTAAAGTGAGACATTGTCAGTTTAAGTATGACATGACAAGTGTGGAGAAAACAATCAAACAAGCAAAAAATATGGAGACTATAACAGTGGGTACACACATAATGAATATAAATGCCCGGAGAGGTCGTTGCACTGCTCGGCAGAAAATGGCTCTCTTGGAGCGTGGATATGCAATGCAGTCCGGGTGAGAGCATTTCCAGATCGAACTAGAGGATCTAGGCTTGTATGGGATGATTGGCTCCATTAGCACTTGATTGGAGAATAAGATAACTTCACGCTCTGGGGTGAGCTCCAGACCATATGGATAAAGTACCATGGTGATATAGAAAGGTGAAATGAAGATCTTTTTACTTAAGGGCACATGTACACTTATTTTATCGCGTGAGCTTGTTTGAGCCTAAGACTCTTAGAGGTGTGGACCCCGGGATTCGCGGATGTCTGAAGAACAATACTTCTGCCTAATTATCCCACTTAGGTACTAGACGCTATAGAAAACAAGAATCTAAGACAGTATGTAATTCTATGTACAATTCGCCAAATGCAACATTCAGTCTGTGTTGTTCCGGTCTGTGTCATCCAAGTTTGTATCTGCTCCGAGGGATATCCCTTGGTTTCAGGGTAAAAACAGTATTGGGTGACACCGTAAGTGATAAGTACCGCTAGGAACACGAAATAATATTTCTATGAAATGGCATCCAGAGCAATCGGATTGACCAGAGAGTTGAATGATGCGAAAAGGCAGGAGGCGATCCACGTAAGACTGAGGCCTTTGGAGCGGAGAGTGAATTGCCAAATCTCACACAGATAGGCAACCAACAGAGGGGTCCTTTATGAAAAAAGAACTTCAGTATAAGTACCACCAAGAACCTGCTGGGGCGTAACGTACAATGCAATGCCATGTCCAGCAAAGTAAATGAGTAAGAACGGAACCACTGCAATTCCAACGGATTTATCCCGAGTTTGAGCAAAGGATCCTGAGAGCCCAGTGATCAAGATGTAGCCCAAGAGCATGATGATTGCCAAGGCATGGAACAATGGTCGTTTGCCGAGTCGGCTAACGAACGAGGCAGCAGTGACACCACACAAAAGATTCCAAATTTGGAGGGATGCTGAGATTATCAACTGCTCACTGGACTCAGTAATGCCAACCGTTTTGAGAACGGCTGTGAAGTAAAAGGATACCACACCATTGCCACCCCATTGACTAAACCATGCTAGCGTCTGAAGTAACCATAAGACGGTGACGATTCCCCTCGGTTTTCACCATATCCAGGTAACTTCCACTTATGTTTGCAGCTTATCGCCGAGACTCCCCGACTGGGAAGTGTAAGGAAGCTACAACTCATTATGTTATATTTACGAGGGGGTATATAGACTGTGTGGCACATACCTACATACGTAGGTATAAAGCTACTATCAAGAAATGAAGGTGGGTCTTGTCAGAAGCCCACCTCCAAACTGGCCTTTGCCATTGCAGAATCGCGATTGGACCGGAATTACAATCAGTATCTCCGAAACCATAGAGGCTGATCTAACCCTCATTTGCAAAGCGAAAGCTGCCGGATCAACTTTGATCGCATTCCCAGAGCTTTGGTTCCCCGGGTAAGTAGGCTTCTACAGGTAGACAACATGTATCCATCACCTCCAGAAGAGTGATTCCTCCCGTACCAATATCTTGCACTTATGGGCGAAAGTTCGGAAAGCATAGAGGCCAACCGCACCACCTGCGAGAGATCATGGTATTATTACTTGTCGGATATTAAATTGAAGCGTATTGAAGCGCAAATACTCAACACCTTGTATCATATACCCAACTCCCAATGGAACCCTGGTTATCTGCCACATTTACCCCAACCCACGGCAGACTTGGAGACGGAAATACATCGCTGGTAAGATCTGATCGTTTCTCGTCCACTCCTTTTTGGAGAAAATTATCTTCCCGGCTGCTGAGGATGGAATTTGCTTTTTTTCAGGTTCAAAATATTGCCAACAATCATTCGCTTCGAGGAATGGGACTCAACCCCTGGCCAAGAGCTGACATATAACCTCCAAGCCCGATTCTTAGAGCTCAGATCTTGGTTGTACCGACCTTTCGTCTACTTTGCTATACATCACAGAGCAGAACACGACAAGTCACCCGAGGCCAAAATATTTGTTGAGAAAGCTATCGAGTGCTGCTTTCATATAGTTCAGTCCAAACCTACAAAGCACAGACATCATGGATCCTGGTTCACTGGGAGAAATGTGCTAAGTGCGGCTTTGCAAATTCTTGCGGCTGTCAAAGCAGGAGGGATTGTGGACTATTTGGTGGACTGGCCAGACTGGATTGATCAAGCCATCAGCTCTCTAGATCATTGGTCTTCCGAATCGAGGGCCGTAGCTCAAGGTAGATTTGTTCTGGAAAGGATTCGAGAATCTCTCTCAGGGCAACAACTATGAGTGGCGCCAATGGGTCGTAATGAGCTGGCTTAGTTGCTAGAAGTGGTTTACCGAGGCAAGAAATCGAAGAACACGGGGTAATTGATTAGTCGAAAGCTCCGAGATTGGTGTATACGTCTGTGGCATGATTTCCTTTCTGGTCTTTAGAAATATTATTATCTGGTGAGTAGATGAAGAGTGTGTTATTCTCGCGTCTATGGCTTACGGCCTTAACTCAAATCTAAACGTCGCTCAGCTTATGCCGTTGCCTTTGTCCAACTTAGCATCTTCGGTAGGGTATATACACTCCTGACTCCCACGGCCTTTATTCCATAATTTCAAGGGTATCGGCAATGGTAAACTTAGCATCCGTCTTCCTCTGCACCTCTTCCACCTCAACACCCGGAGCAAGCTCCGTCAGTGTGAGCTCTCCAGTAGCTCGATTCACCTGGAAAACACACTGTACCTTTGTCAGTTTTGATCTAAATCAACTAGACTCTTCACACTTACCAGGTCGGTGATGATAGTGCTAACAACATTGGCACCAGTTAACGGCAGACTGCACTTTTGTACAATCTTGGGCGATCCATCTTTCGCGACATGGCTCGTGGCCACCACGATCTTCGTCTTTTCCGGGTTCGAGATCAAATCCATTGCTCCTCCCATACCCTTGAACACCTTACCGGGGATCATATAGTTGGCTAGATCGCCGTTGGCACTTACTTGCAAAGCGCCGAGAATAGACACATCTACATGACCTCCGCGGATCATGCCAAAGGACTCGGTGCTGTCGAATGTGGCGGCTCCAGGAACCAGGGTCACGGTTTCTTTTCCGGCATTGATGATATCGCTAGTCTGAGTTAGTAAGAGTACAGGTCACCTCATCCGGGAACAACTTACGGATCCAATTCTTGCTCGGTGGGATAATCACCCTATATTTTGTTAGACCAGCTCCTGGAAAAAAAAAAAAAAAAAATTTAAGAAACGTACCATTCCCAAAATGCCATTCTCCGACTGAATCCAAACCTTCACATCTTTGGGCAGGAACGACGGTGCCAACGTGGGAATACCAACACCCAGATTCACATAGAATCCCGGCTTAAGCTCCTTAGCCGCCCGACGACCAATGAGTTCTCTCTGAATCTGAGCCGCATCTTTAGCAGACCCAATTGCAATTTCCTCCGAGCGCAACTTCTTGTTTTCCATGTGCTTGTCGTCCGTGGCAGGAACGATCCGATCCACGAAAATACCCGGTAGGTCCACGTCATTGGGGTCAATGGAGCCAACTGGGACAATGTTCTCCGCCTCTACAATGGTCAGAGTCGCAGCTTTGGCCATGATAGGGCCAAATGCTTTGGTGGTGTATCTATCCGATGTCAGTATCCAGGTTCTAGGTTGTACTCATAGCTATATATACTCACCGGAACACGCAATTACCAGCCTCATCCGCCTTCCAAGCTCTGAGAATAGCTACATCTCCAGTCAAGGCTTCTTCCATGAGGTATGTCTTGCCATTAAATTCTCGGGTCTCGCGCGGCTTGCCGGACTCCAGAACTTTACCAGACTCATCCATGCGAACGGGAATTTTTCCCTCCTGGATAAATGTGTCTTTCACTTGTCAGCGACGAGCATAGTCTGAGGGGGATCTAACATACGGACTCCCGTCGGGGTAAAGAAAGCTGGAATCCCAGCACCTCCAGCACGGAGACGTTCAGCCAAAGTACCTTGAGGACAAAGTTCAATAGCAATATGTCCCGTCAAATATTTCTTCTCCAACAATTTATTGTTCCCGAGGTATGAAAGGATCAGACGGTCGATCTGGCCGTTCTGCGAGAGTGTCGAAAGGCCTCCCTTGCCCGCGGCGCCGGCATTGTTCGAAACGGCTGTCAGGGAGTGTAATTGATCAGCGCCTCGGCGGCGCATGGCATTAATGAGGGTTTCTATACTGCGTATTAGCTTCGTTACCCCTCTGGTTGCTCGTCCACGTACCTGCAACTCCGCAAAGACCGAACCCAGAGCTAAGGATTGTCGATCCGCTCTTGACATCTGCGACTGCGGCATCAGCATCTTTGAAGAGTTTTGAGCCGCCGCGCTCAATCTTAGGAGCGAGGGATCGTAATGGCGCTGTTGTGGAGTATCTAGTGCTGGTGCTGGTACTGAATGGTTGCAAGGGGCGCACGCTGGCGCGCACTCCAAGGAAGAGTCGAGGTCGACAGGTAGTGAGCGCTTTGCGCGACAATGTAGTGGAAATCCTAAGGGCCGTCATGTTTAATAATTGTTTAGACAAAAACAAAAAAACTTTGGAAATGAAATCATCGCGCAGTTAAAACATTCACGGCATCGGCTAGTCGGGGCTACTTCTGGACGCCGAGCGGCCACGCGCGGAAGCCCTCCGAGCGGACCTTCTTCTGATCTTCTACCAATTCTTCTATTCTTCTTTTAATTTCCGATTGAATTCCAATTAGTTAGTCAGTTAAATTCCACAGCTTACATAAAACAACTGGGATAGTAACGACTTAATCCCATTGGTCTATTATGAATGGGAAAAACAAGCAAGCAGCTCGTATAAATTCCCTCTGATGTCATAGGTACCCAGTATAGGACACCAAATAAACTAGATATCAACAAAAGAAATAAACAATCCCTTATTCATCCCGTCAACTGTTTCTTAAACTGGCTCAGCTTCCCCCTAATACCCCCTCGTTGCCTCCGCCCATCACTCTGCCTTGTCAAAGTATCCGCATCGGAACCCATTGAAGACTTGGGCGGGGAATCGCCGGCCTCCTTAGGCCTCTCAGGTTTGGACCTGAGCTCTTTTGATTGATTTGTCGGTATCGATGTAGCTTCCGACGCCATATTATCACCATTCTGGAGTTTCTTTTCAACTTCTCTTTGCTCTGCTTGCTCGCGGCGTATACGCTCGCGTCCGCGTCGGGCAGCGCCTTCGATCCCTCTCTCGCCTAGCATAGCAGTTCCAGCTGGACCTGGGGCTAGGGCACTCCAGTCGAGGACCATGGTGGTGCTTTCTTTGGGGTGGTTTGGAGTTTATGCGTATCAACTGTGAGTTATGTTCTAATTGATCACAGTAGGGTTTGTGTGTGAAATCGATGTCGAAGATGTGACTTGTTGATATGCTTCGGAGAGGGGCGATGACGTTGGCCAAGATGGCCCCCAATGATGATCTGTCGGATTTGCAGAAATCTTGGGGAAACCAGTGCCTTGCATTTAGTATGGTAGGCGAAAGAGTATCGATATGTACAAGCTGGTAATATGAATATATTCAGAAAACAAAGGTTGGATCAAATAAACACAAGAAAAAAAAATAAACAATGGGTATGCAAATATCTACCTTCCTATCCTACTAAAAATTGAAATCCGGGTTGGCAAAGTCGAGCCAATCCCAATTAAGCATGTTATCAAGAGGCACATCCGGGATGGACGCACCAAACGCGGTACCTGCTCGATTCACCGCATCGACGATCTGATTATCAGACATGGCAGAGAATTGCAATGTTTCAAACCATAGATCCTCGGGTGGTAGTGTTACTGGCAGCGGACCATGATCCAGACAAGCAGACGGAAATGCTGGCTCGGGTGGATGTACCCTGTCTGGGTTGCCTCGGGATTTTAGAGGCAAGGCCGGTGCACGTCGGATCAACTCACGTAGGAATCTTCCGTAAAGCACAGAGGCACCGCTTCTGTGACTTGGTGTTGCTCCAATTCTCTCTAGGACACCGGCCGTCTCTTCGATGAGATTTCGGACGCTTGGTGCCAGGCTGGATCTGCTGTCGCCGGGTGTTATGCTGAGGCTGAGGGCAGAGCATGCGGCAAAGGAGATCATTATTACGGTATTGTTTGGCATTGATTTTAGTCGAGATTCGCCTTGGATGGCTGCTCGCAAGACGTTCAATGCAGACGATAGACCAGCGGCTCGGAAGAATCGTTTGACTTCGATTGGAGCTGTTGGGTGATTGATGACACCACCATAGGTGGATAACTGAGTATGTGTAACGAGAATCTCGACATATGGGGGTAGGGAGCGTGCTGTAAATGGTTAATATTTGGTCAATCAATGTTAGGTATTAGCTTACTGTCTCCTTCGCCTATTGACAAGGCCCATGTTGCATACCACTGCTCGTAGAAGGTTTGGATGGTTCTCTTAATCCTATAGTATAGTCAGTATATAAATGATATTTATCAAAGGCACAATAGCATACGAATGAGCAGCTTCTGAGCCGGTATCGACGAAGCGATAACTATCACAGCTTGATTTAACTTTCTGAAAGAGTCCATCCTACAACCGTTAGAATTGAATTTAATAGCATGATATGGGTATTTTTAAGGCGGTTTGGGATGAGACTTGGGATGGCACCTACAAGGTCCCTTCGGAGAACTGCCATGGAATTCATGGGACCATCACGTGGGTCTGCAATATTGGATAGGTGCCAACGATCGCAATTTTCGACGAGCGTTGTTGGAGGTACCGTATAGCTTCGTCCACGCGCAAGACAAACACTGAGCAAGTTAGTGCCAGACCCAGATGCACTACTAAGAGAATCACACGTACCCCCTCTCCACGACATACAAGGCAATCCAAGCTCTTTCGCGTCTTCGCAACAGCCTGAGGCCCCACTCTGAAGACGGATCAATATCATCAAATCCATCCATATGTAAAGCCCTCTTGGCATCAATACACTCAGCCCGTGCTAGACCATTCAGGAGTTCTTGGTCAAAGCTTGAAGAGGGTGAGACAATCTTGTTCAAAGATAAGTCTAGAGCCACAGTGAGAGCCATGGCAATATAGGAGCAAGTATCATCGTCTCCTAGTCTATCACCGGGAGACATCCATGGAACATTCACCATGAAAGCCAGAACAATCTCAACAGATCTATAGCGGTGTGTGAACACTCGCTTCGCGAGCCATTTGCAGTGCCTCGATAGTCTCTTAGATAGAGCAGCAGCAGACGGTAAAAATAAGGCTGCACCTGCCATTATCGAAGTAAAAAGAAAAGCCGACTGGGACCGTACGAATGACGGGGTGTGTACCAAAGGATCCAGGCCCCATCGTGTATGTGCAAGGTTTTCGTAGAAACTTGGACTGTCAGTTATATATGTTTAAAATGAAAGACAAAGCGCTTACAATGAGAACAAGGACTCCGACTCATCGAATGTAACTAAGCCTAGTTCAATAGGGTCAACTTCAGGCCCAACATCGAGATTTGCTTTCGCAGGAACAAAAAAGGACTTGGCACTCGGTTCTCCTATCGGGGTGCTCTGAAGGAACGATGGACCCTCTGACAATGGTAGTGGAGACTTTGGCGCACGCCGCATGTCGGTCGGCGAAAGCTGAAGATCCGAAGCTCTAGCAAGCAACTGAAGAGGATTCTCTGCATCGTCAAGAGCAAGACTCTCCTCTGCGTGCATATCACGTGGAGATGTCATGCGCGGGTGATCTGATGCCTCGGAATAGCCACGCTCATGTTCATGTTCATGCTCGTTCTGCATTAACTGGCCCTGGACTTTACCGAGGAGTTCCTGGAGGACTGAAATGGCCCTTTGAGCCTCATCATCATTAGAGGAGTCGACCTTGGGCCGCTTGATTGCCTGCTCGATCTGGTGTATAGCTTTCTCCAGGCCCTTGCGTTTACTAGACTCCGGTCAATATTTTATTACACGACGCCTTCATTTGACTCACTTTTTGACACCCTTTTGTCGACCCAGATGATGGTTGGGCACAATACACTCTGCACTGGTCTGTTTACATTTCTCGCAGCTGGACTCGCCTGCCAGGCGGTTGCAACGAATCTTGCTCCGCCGACAGTTCAAGCATGCAGCTTGTTTTCCATGCGGGCTTGATGCCGAACCTGCCGAATCGATCTCCATGAGTAAATGTTTTAACCTCGGCCATGGACACTAACGTCATGGAGGTGCGGGAGTCGGGATGATTTACTAGGACTAGTTTTGGCTAATGTAGCATTATGTGGAGCCTCTTTCAACAGCCCGGCCGGGCTAGCTCAATCGGTAGAGCGTAAGACTCTTAATCTTAAGGCTGCGGGTTCGACCCCCGCGTTCGGCTATTCCTAAAAACCAAACCTAAGATTTCTTTTTTTGCTGTTTTATCTTATTGTATCTGTTTTCAACAATGAAAGAGATAGACTACTTCAATTGTCTTTGCTTTTTAGCTTTGGTGCGAAGGAACAAGCGGTTGCTTCCAGTACTACATAGTGTATCTAAGAACGAAAAGCGTCTGATCTGAAAAATGTTATAGCTCATTTCTCAAGTCGATTATATATTTCTCACTTATAATTGAATTTGAATTTGAAGAGGGAAAAAAAGTCCCGACTTGGAGAGTCCAGACTATTCAACTTCCCAATATTTTAAATACATTCCCAGTTAGTCCCCCTCGCCACAAACAGTCTACAACCAGGTGGCGATAGTGGTAGAACACGATGCCGCCAACGACCTTAACCAAGAAATCCAACGCCGATGAAACGGATGTGATACAGTCGAAGGATGGACATTGGAGAGAAACCTGGAAGATGCTAAAGGAGGAAGACATTTTCAGGTTGGACATGGGTCTTGGACTGGGCATGAGCAGGACGGTATCTAAAGTAGTCGCCGCCGAGTAATTATTGTGGACATTGATGATATTAGAGTCATACTCTATATTTCAGATGTTAGATATCTGTTTGTACTTAATTTACTGATATCTGTAGTGACCATGCAAGTATACCGAGTAACGAGTGAGTGGTATCAATTAAAGATTAGTCGCTAAATACAAGCCCAAAACAATATGGCCATTGGTCCTTTTCGTGACATGCCAACGGACAGTGAACATATAACCGAATCTAAAGTAGCAAATAATCACATATAAATTTTCAATCAAGCATAGCGAACGGGACCGGATTCCTCGCCATGACCAGCACCTGGAGCACCTTCTGTCGATGCAACCCGCGAAGGCGCATTGGTACCGGGAGGAGTAACATCCAACAAGCGCGGACCAGACTCAACAGGCCTTTTGTTTGCCTTGACAGACGGAGGCGCCGGACCCAAGACAGTCGGGTACTTGAAGCGGAAGCCCCAAGCGAAGAAGAGACGCATCTTGGTCCAGAAACCCATTGAGTCCCACCTCTTCTGGAGGATCTCGGCATCCTCTTTGCTGCGAGCGCGGTAGCCCTTGCGGAAACAAAACAGACAGAAAAGAGAAAGAGGGAGCAAAATGAATGACCAGAAAAGAGGGAAACCACGACGGGTCTGCCAGCCCGTCATGAGACGACGGAATCGCACCCAGGCTTCGATCATGCCCAGGATGAAAACTATGCCGATCCAGCCTAATCCGCAGATGAGTACAATTGCCAGGTAGGAGATGCCGAGGCCGGATCCCCAGGTGCTGGTGAACCAGTTGTAGTCGTCATCGTAGCCATAGTCGTAGTAGCCACTGCCACTGCTGGATGTTCCATCGGAGTCGGATGATCCATCGGTGTACTGAGTGCTTCCTGGTCCGTCCGAAATGCCAGTGTAGTATCCAGAGTTGCCGTTATAATCACTGCTGACGCCTGTGTACTGGCATCCGGAACCTATATACCGAGAGGTAGGGGTGTTGTAGAGGCTCAAAGAGTCCAGAGTCTTGCTGGGGATTTGGGTGGGTTCCACGAAGACCACTTCGTAGATGTAGGTCATGGGCTCGAATGGCTGGCTGTTGTCGACCGAGGTTGAGGTTACTACATTATCCCTGGGCAGCAAGGTCGCGATCCCATAGGGAGGGCGGACTGTGGCAGCGGTCGTGGTGGTCCATTGAGTAGAGCAGGCTGTCGGGGCCGAGAAAGTCAGGTTGACCTTGTAGATGGTGCTGTGATAGGTCCTATCACTATTGATAGCGTTGGGGTAGCCATCGTATAAATCGCGCTCCTCGCCATAGCCAGTGGGATACAGCTTTTCGACAACGGTATAGTCGTAGTTGGTATTGGTGGAAGTAATGGTTGACAGGGCCTCGACTGGTAAAGTTGCAGTTGGAGAGATTTGATTGATCTCGGTGACCAACTCGGAGTAGTAATCTGTATTAACCTCTTGTTCGTAGGTATCAGTCACAATCCAAGGGGCGGCCTGAACGAATGGGCTCAAAACGAGTGACAAGAAAAGAAGAAACGAGTGTGAAGGTGCCATCTTGAATGGTCCTTTGGGATTGCAGGGGAAACAGCCAGGAACGAGGCGTCCATGGCTTTATTAAAAAAAAAAATTAGATAGCGCCTCATGTTGGAAGACCCTTATTTTTGGTCAATTTGGGGGCGCTTTGTCGCCCAAGCTATACTGGTTCTTGCTCGGGTGGAAATTGCCTGCATTAGAGTAGGTAGATGCTCGGATGTGATTGGTGATGTCTCTCAATTTGCCAGAGCTAAGTGGACGGTCTAGTCTGTTTACGATCTAGTCAAAGACCCTAGACTTTTCGCCTCATGTTTTTACCGAACTCGTCTCTTTTCTTAGTCTTTTTGTTAGCGACACAGAATTGGACTAGCCTCATGGAAAAAGAAAGAAAAAAAAAAACTTTGTTGAATACGCCTAGTCACGCAAGGAAAAACGCAGAAAATAACAGCACAGAAAGAAATACAAGCGTAACTTCGTGGATCGTCAGTGTGTTGCAAGGTCCAGAGATCGCGAGGAGTCTATATGGGGGATTGACAGTCCCTTAAATCCAGAGTACCCAGGAGGGGAAAGAGATAGAGAGAGCACCAGCCACTTGCTCAATTAGCAGCCCGTAAAGCTCGTAGCCTTGCACCCAAACCATCCTCCACCTCGGCATCCACCTGCTTAGGCTCCTTAACCTCCTCCTTGGGCGCAGCATCCGCCTCGAGGTTCAGGCGCATATCAACACCCGCATCATCTGCCAGTTGTTCCATAAGCCGATCAACGTCGGCCTCACCCTCCGCACCGTATTCCTGCATCGATATACCCTGTGCGACATCCTCGATCGCACTACTAGCGATCTTAAAGTCTTCCGACCGGGCGAGGAAGTTGTTAGCGTGGGAGACGAGGTGTTCGAGGTTGACGCTCCGTGAGGCAGCGTCTAGGCCCCGCGACGCCATAGCGAGCGTCCGGGATGTGTCACGGGTACTTTGAGCGGCCTTAAGTTCGTTGATGATGACATCTGCGCGTGCCGCTTCAGATTTGAGTGTTACCTGGCGTCGTTTCTCGCGTACGGCGGAGGCGGCGTGAATGCGGGCGATCTGGAACTCGCGGTTTTTCATCGCTTTGTCGGCTTTGGCCTTTTCGGATTTGAAGGTCGCCTCCGCTCGGACGGCTTCTTTCTTGAGTCTGTTGGAGTGTAGCTGGGAAGATAAGGTTAGCAATCGGTTCATGCATAGGCGGGGTGATGCACGCTGTGGGGAGGGGAAGCAGGGTGCGGGGAGACAATTTACTTTGACATTTGTGCGGGCTTCGAAGATAGGGTCTTTGCGAACCATGATGTCGGTTAAAGATATTATAGAGGAGGAGGCTTGCAGGTGTATTTGGGTGTTGTGGAAGGCAGATGGATTTGGGGGCGCGTGGCAACGTCACTGACCGCATTCAGTGCATTCTTTAGCGTCCCGAGGTCGGTGTATTTTAGCAACAAGTCTAGATAGATTTGACGAATATACCGAAACAATGTCTCTGTTAACTTTTGAAATGGATTAAGTTTACTTGTGGCGATATAAAAGTATTACTACAATTGTTACTACATGTACTATTATGTCTCGGAAATAATTGCAAGATGAGCCAGTCAATTTTGCATTATAAAAACTAGTATACAGGCCAAAACAAATTGGAACCCTCAGCGCTGTTTGCCCATGAGCAAGGATGAAAGAGCCTTGCTCGCGCTGGAACTCCCGAAACTCCGTGTACCTCGATGCATCTTTCCATTACTGCGTTGCCGACCGGATTTCATTGTGTTTCCCCGCTGGTGTCGTTTAGACAGGCTGAGACTATCGATTGCCCAGGCCATGGTTAATAACGACTCCCAACTCGGTCGAGCCTCCGAGGCGCCAGCCGACCAGGTCTGCAGGGAGAAAGTCTCACTAACCGCTAGCTGCAATGCTCTGCCCGTCGCATCTCGAAGTGGACGCGCCAAGGCTGGGCTGCAAGCTAGTAGTCTGGTGAGAAGTCTCATCCGAAAGACCGGACGGTTGGACACCCTCGAGGACGACAGAGTCGGGGTCGAAATCAACCATAGAATCAAAGGGAAATGCTGATAGATCTCCTCCGTCGAGAACGTCAAAGGCAAACCCGTCTTCAGGGAAAGAAGGATTTGGCTCAGCGGGTGAATCACCGTGGAACAGGCGACGGAAGTCATCGTCAGAAAGAGGAGCTGCAACATCATTTGCAGTCTGAGGTTCATCGGAGAGGTCGAAGAGGGGTAGGGCGCTTCCAGATCCTTCGAGGCCAGCGACGGACACTGCAGGTCGCACAACACCGCTGCAGGATGTTGTGTCACGTCGGAGGCCTCAGCCAGAGTGGAAGGTTTGAGGGTAGGAGAGTAGTCGGTAACGGAGGGAGTGGGGAAAGGAATCCGTTCCATAGGAAGTTCGTTGCCTTCTTGTTTGAAGAGGGTAGGCGTGAGGGTGGGAGATTCGATGGCGGGAGAGCTGGCCTTGGGAGTCACGCTGCGAGATCCACGGACCTCGGCGGAGAGTTTAGCCACTTGTTGGCTCAGACGGTTGTTTTCCGTCTCCATCTGGGATAGACGCTGGATCAGGAACTGGTTTTGTTGCTCCATTCGGATCTTTTCAGTCTCGAGTTTCTCCATTTCGAGACGCTTGCGCTCGCGTGATGTTTGAGCAGCAGCACGATTCCGGAGGACCCGTTCTATCCGGCGCTGCTCTTTTTCATCATCTGTCTTGGCGCGTTTTCTAGGAGAGTTAGCGGGGTTCAGAGATTTGAAACAAGGTGGGCAACATACCTGGGAGGGAGATTTGTTTTGGGGGTTGGGAGTTCTTGTCCCCAAGACTTTCTCTTCTTTGTTGGCTTCTTCTCGTCATCTTCATCCTTGATATCATCTTCGGGCTCTGGAGAGTCTAATGATGTATCCGTGGGGGAAACTGTGTACATCTCTGGGGATGGTGAGGCTGGGAGGGTATCCAACGGGTTGATAGTATCCGCCATGGTGACAGGGTCAAATGGATAACCGGTGCCGGACGTGAATAATAATCAGTGTATATGTATAGACTTATAATGACACGAGTGAAAAGAGGATCAGATCACAGAGGCCACGTTATCATCACGATCGGCACCGGAGACCAGACTCCGGGGAAGATTGAGTCAGAGGGTGAGTCAGCGAAAAGAGAGAAAGAAAGGATGGAAAGGACAGCTGTTCAACTGCAAACGGATGGGCGAGATGAGGTTTAAGTAGAGGCCAGCGTGGTCTGAAAGGGATGGCGTCGGATGGAACAAAGGGGGGAAAACCTTGGAACCTGGGCCTACACGTACATCAGGTACAAGCTACACCATACATTTTACCATGTGTCACCAAGTACCTCAAAAGGGGGCTGAGTTTATGTAACGAGACACGTAAATTACGTTAATTTCCCCCTGCATTCCATGGTTCAGCCCCTGTCGGCAGCCAATTATGATTTACCGCTGAAACATCGCACTTGTTACGACGGAGCTCCGTACGGAGGACCTACGTCCTAAGTGGGCACACTTGTTTTGCCTCGGAGTTCTATAATTGGGATCTTGAGCCCGATACAATTGTATTCGAGTGCATACAACATACATATATGTATGGAGTAATATTTCGATATTTATTCAGCTTATGATCTCTCGGGTGATACAAGGCACATCCGGTCACTCCGAATCGATCTATCTGAATCATGATACGTCTGTCCCACAATGTAAATGATCCGATATCACGAAGAGTCTCGAACAATCTAGGGTGGACCTAGTATCGATACGTTCTCTCCTGAAGGCGCGATCAGGATTGCCCGGAGAATGCTCCATTTAAACGCCAATCACAGGTGTTTTGCAGGTTAATCATGCCCCGCCCCGTTAATTCTCCGTGCCCCTGACTGAGAAAGTGATACTGTAATTGTGTACATCTATGGAGAAGGGGGTCAGTGTGTCACCTAGATTGGCGGAAACTGGGGATGCGACGGAACTATGGAACTATCTCGAACACGGCAGAATCATGGAGCCTAGGCCGAGGGGCTGAAACGTACGTCGAACAACGTATACATTGCCCCTCCGTTACTATTTAGGGATGACCTCGGGAGTTTACCTATAGGGGTGACTCCTACCATTTGCTGCATATGGAGAAAAGATAACGGTATATGTCTACCTCAATTCAATACACTAAATTTAGTGATCGGTATTGTCATCCCATTTTGGAAACCTTCGACACCAGGGGAATTATATGCAGTCCCTCAAACAAAGAAAGAAAAAAAAACGCCATCCCATAGAAACGTGCTCATGACAATATCGTAAGCGAACATGTGCGGGGCTATGATCAATTGACCTCATCTACATGGTGACGTCCATCGTGTCGTCGCCAGCATCGAGAGCATTCTGGGCCTCCGGGTCAGGGACCACCACACCACGTCCTCGGCCAGCAAGCAGTTCGCGTCGCACTTCAGGTCCAATGTCCTTGTGTCCACGGACGAGAAGCAAGTCGAGAAGCGCTTCACGCTGGTCCTCAGTGATGTCGTTACGATAGCGCTGGGCAAAGACCAAAAGGGACTGGTGCCAGAGAACTGGCAGCTTGTAGGCCTTGGAACCGAGCCCTGTGGGTCCGTCATTCATGGCATCATCCGAAGCATCGACGGCGCGGAAACGCATGAAGTGGAATACAAGGGCGTCGATGACCTTGTATGGCAGGGCATACTTCTTCTCCAAGAAGACGCGGATGAACATGTTGACAGCACCGGTGCTTTCCAGGGAGGTCAACGACTGTTCCGCGGCCAGATCACACATGCGGAGCAGGGCGGCGGCGGAGTGCAGTACGGGAACGGAGACGCGGGCAACCACAGAAGAAACAATGTGTGCTTCACGCAGGGTGCAAGTTCCGGTGGACACGAGGGGGAACAAAAGCCCCTTGAAGAAGCATGCGGGCTTGTACAGGGCCTTGCGCAGCGCATTGTAGGTGTGTACGTTCAACTTTTTGGTTTCGTGGATTTCCTCGCGCACGCGCTCCAAAAGCA